GGGGACTCTTTTTTTTTTTTCTGATCCAGCATTTGCTGCAAAGAATTGGGGAAACCCAGTAAAACCCAATCAGATCATTCAAAAACATAAATTAACAAGATTCGCTTATATAAACAGTAATGGTTAGACTAGAAATTATTTTGGTTTGATTATTGTTAAATATATATATATATTCCAAGAGATCCAGTTTGGCTTGGTTTAAAGGTGAATTATAAATTAGCAAAAACTCCATATAAAGGTTCAGGGTGAAGGTCCAGTTAGCCCCATTTGGTCTCGCAGTGCAGTGAACCTAGCTGTTGGTAGTGGCTTCGTTAAAATATCAGCCAATTGGAAATCTGTGGAAATATACTTGACACAGATTAGTTTGTTTTCAATTTGTTCCCTGGTAAAATGATATTTGATATCTATGTGCTTAGATCTCTTGTGGCAAGTAGGATTATTGGCTATACTAATACAACCTTGGTTGTCTTCAAAAATATCTATTGGGCCAGTTAATTTTAATTTAATTTCATTTATTAATGACTTTAGCCATAATGCTTCTCTAACACCTTCAAATAAGGCCATATATTCGGCTTCGGTAGATGAAGCAGCAACTGATTTTTGTTTCATAGTACTCCAGGATATTGAACAATTTCCAAACATTTTAAATATATATCCTGTAGTACTTCTCCTATCAGTCTCATTTCCAGCCCAATCAGAATCGACATACCCTATAAGAATATTATCCACTTTAAGATTCCTTTTGAACGATAACTTTAAGTCAACAGTTCCTTTTAGGTATCTTAAAACTCGTTTAAGACATTGCCATAATTCTTTGTTATTATTATTAGTATACCGGCTTAAGATACTAATTGATGTACTCAAATCCGGACGTGTACACAACATTATGTACATTAAACAGCCAATTAAATTCCTACATGGTGCTTCACATGATTCTTCAGCTTGCAAGTCCTCATAATTTAGTTTGCTTGGAAGAGGGGTACTAACTGGATTGCAATCTTCCATATTGAATTTCTTTAAGACATTTTTAATATATGCAGATTGACTGAGACAAATTTGATCATCTTTTCGATCAATTTTTATACCAAGGAAATGTCGTATTTCACATAAGTCAGTCATTTGAAACGTACTTGAAAGATAAGTTTTAAATTTAGACATACTTTCGGAATTACTGGTGGCAATTACCACATCGTCAACGTATAATAATATATATATATTTTTACTTATATCTCCCTTATTTAAAATATATATACATCGGTCTACTTCTAGATTCTGAAATCCAAATTGTTTAAGTGCACTTTCAAAAACCTCAAACCAGTATCGCGCAGCTTGCTTAAGGCCATAAATAGCTTTATTTAGTTTACATACTTTATTTCCATCATACTGGTTTAAACCTTTTGGAACCTTCATATAAATTTCATCCTTTAAAGTTCCATTTAAAAATGCTGTTTTTACATCCATATGATGAATCAGTAAATTATATTGATTAGAAAATGCTAAAAGAAATCTGAAACTAGAAGTTCGTGCAACAGGTGCAAAGGTCTCGTCATAATCTATCATATATTCTTGGGTAAAGCCCCTTGCTACCAGTCTTGCCTTATATTTTAGAAAATTACCATTTTCGTCTTGCTTTAAACTAAAAACCCACTTGCAATCTACTATGTTTTTATCCATAGGCCTTTGCACTAAGCACCATGTATTATTTACAAAATGAGAATTTAGTTCATCTTGAATGGCTTCCTCCCACAAGGTTCTGTCATCGCGAAATTTAATTTCCTCATATGTATTGGGAATATCACTTAAGCACAATTGGGTATTCATAAGACATTTTTCTAAAAATCTATATGATAATTTTGGTTTATCTTTATTTCTCTCACTGCGTCTGACTTGTTGATTTTCATTTTCTTGTATATTATCACCAGTTCCAACTACTGGATCGGTATTCTCGAGACAAGTGGAATTTTCATTTGAGTTTTCACCAGACTTTGAATCCATTGATTCATTCATTTCCTGTGATGGAAAAACTAACTCTTCATTCTCTCCAATTTGAGAATCATGACTTCTGCTAACATCATTATGTTTTACCACAGAGTCATTTTCATTTAAAGTCATAGATTTTATGCTTTTTTCGTCCACCACTACATCTCTAGCTATCACAAATTTTCTCGATTCCTCATTCCACAATTTATAGCCATTTGGCTCATACCCGACGAGTATAGTCTTGATCGATTTGTCATCAAATTTTCGCTTATGCACTTTATTTAGTGCGTATACAGTCGATCCAAATATTTTTAAATATTTTAATATTGGCTTCTTTTTATGCCACATCTCATATGGTGTTTTTCTTATATTTCCCAAAGCTCTACTTGGGGACCTATTAACTAAATAAGTTGCTGTTAAAACAGTTTCACCCCAAAAACTTTTATTAAGTTTAGTACAGTTAATCATAGAGCGAGCTTTTTCGGTGATTGTCCTAATCATCCGCTCTGCAACACCATTCAATTGTGGGGTATGAGGAACCGTTAAGTGATAGCTGATACCTTTTTCGACACAAAATTCACGCATTTCATTAGAGAGGTATTCCCTGCCATTATCAATATATAGATTTACCATTTTTAAGTTGAAATGAGCCTCACTTTTTGCCACAAAGTCTTTGAATACAAAAAACATGTCTGATTTATAAGTTATTAGATATGTCACACAGTAATGTGTAAACTGATCAATAAATACTACATAGTAGTTTTTATTATCAATAGTTGAGGGCGTAATCGGACCACATACATCAGAATGAACTACGAACAATGGGCGGTCAATATTTTCTTTGTTTTTAGATTTTTCAAATTTTAGCCTAGATTGTTTTCCGTTAATACATGCCTCACATAATTCATTTCTATTTAGCTGTACGTTTTTTATAAGTTCAATATCTTCAAACAAGCTGTTTCGTTTAATTTCTAAGAATTTTCCTACACTAATATGACCTAACCTTTCATGCCACAAGCGATATTCTGCATCATTTAAAATTTTGGATGTATATACTTTACTATTTAAATAAAATTTCACAATCGGTACATTATATTTACATATCCCTTCAAATGCCAAGTTACCATTTTTGATTACTTTTATTCCATCCGGATTGAATTCGACGGACATTCCAGCATCTAGCATCTTCTTCACGGATAGTAAATTGTGCGAGATTTCCTTGCAGTACAGCACGTTTTGTAATGTAATGTTTTTTTCAGAACTGTTAAGGCTAACTAGTCCTTTCGCAGTAGCATACACAAATTCTCCACGCTTTGCAATCTCAATCGCCACACTTGGATTTATATTCTCATACTCGGAAAACAGAGTTATGTCGTTTACTATGTGATCTGACGCCCCTGAATCTAATATAAAATCTACGCCATCTATCTTTTCACTGGAATTAGCTAATTTCATCATAAATGCAAACGAGCGTTCTGGCTGCGTTGCTGTTGCCATCTGAGCCTGTCTCTCTCTAGCATTACTCTGGACATGAACATTCTGGTTGCCACCTGCCTGCCTTTTTAAGGAGAAACAGTCTTTCTTTATATGGCCTAATTTGCCGCAATGAAAACACTTTTCCTCTAACAAAGCCCTGACTCTAAATTTCCATATGGAATACTTTTCCCCGTTAAAAGGTGTTATATTTCTCTTTCCCTTTTCCATCTTCCGAGAATAACTGTTCTTCTTTTCGGTTGCTATGCGCTTCTCAGAATTTTTTGTTGCTGGTCTGCTCTAACACTCGCACTGAAAAATGAAAAATGTGCGCCAATTTGGTGCGTCGTTATACATATATGTATATGTACGTTGTTCACTTATAAGCACAAATTTCAATAGTAATTATTTTGTTTAGACTTGATTTAAGTTTTAATTTGTTTCACTTTTTTTTTTTTTTATTTCACTTTTGTTATTCGGTAACAATTAAAGCATTTTTCTGTAGCACTTAGCTGCAAATTGTGACTGGGCCCATAACCTATTGAATATATATAATTAATGTATATACAAACTCCAGGAACACACCAGCCCGATTTGCCAAATAGTAAAACACTTTAATTGTCTTTTTAGTTAATTTTTATTTCACAACCGCACGCTCTCGTTGTCTTCAAGTAAGTGACAAGGGTACGCATGTGCATACAAAAGGAAACAAAAACGTTCTTTGAAAGAGAGGGAGAGAACAAAGAGAGGAGAGGGCTTTGCCTCTCTCTGAGATCTTCATTGTTCATCCCCTTCCCACACACACACCATGTGTATATGTATAAGTGTGACTTTTGGTATTCTCAACACGCAACGTAACCGAACTCAAGCGCTATTAACTGACTTGTGACAATTATCCAATTGTAGAGAATGTGGTATTCCTGAGTTAAATTTTAAGTCGATAACAATTTTACCAGGCTCTTATTAAAATATCGAACCCTGTAATTTCCAGAGACCCACAAAAATTCGCTGGCGCCGTACAAAGCCGACTTTATTAAAATATAGTCAAACTTAAAATGTTTACATTTCTCCCAAGAAGCTGAAATTCAAAAAGAATTTAATAAATTTTCAGTAGTTAAAAAATAATTGAAAATAACTTTACAAAACTTAATACAATGAACCAGGCAAGGCAAGAAACTTGAAAACAAATCCAATGTAGACATAAAGTGAAGGCTCAGTGCCAGGCAGCTTGAAATGTTCGACATCTTAATTGAAACACCAATAAAGACTAACCAGTGAATTCCCAAAAACAAGGAGAAAGAGCCAATACAGGAAATGATGTAATCAATAGTCAATTACAAAGGCATTTCCATACATTCAACTAGTCATCAGCTTTATTAGTTTTTTCTTTTAAGCGGATGGTATTCGGTTCTATACTCCTATTAATTATCTTTCTTTGCTAAAGTCCTGGTATATAAGCCAACAAACTAACCAACAAGAATTTAAAAGGAGCATCACAATACCAAAAGAGTTTATACTTTCAAGTTGACTTTGTAAAACTCCAGGAGCTACAAATAAAGAACGAACCCAGCTTAAATATAGACCGACGTCATTAGTAACGCATAATGAAATTAAAGAAACTGAAAAGAATATTCAAATTTCAAACCTTTAATTTATATACGGTCATTTATAAACATCGGATTATATTTTAAAACAAATTTTATACTTTCGATTGTTAGCGAACTTTAATTAAACCCACTTTTAATATTTTAAAATCATTGCAAATTACCTAAACTTGAAAAAAACACCAGAATTACAAATACTTTTAAATTAAAGTCAATGCTAATGGAATGTAGATCCCAAGTGCAAGGTAGATTTTACAGAAATGTTTACAGAAATTCAACTGACAAATAAGTTTATTGGTATTATCAATTCGTTTTTTCCAGATTTAACTTAGTTTAATAGTCCTTGAATACAAATAACCAACCTTAAGGTCTTAAGGTCGTAAGATAGCACACGACTGTTAATGTACTAACCAACAAAATCCCTAAGATAAATAAGTACATGTTATAAGAATTAAACGAAAAATTGATTGCAATGTTCAAATTTACCAACCAAGGCCGTAGAAGTTTTCGACTTTCAAACCTTTAACTTGAGTACGGTCATCAAAGTTCCACACCAGCCATGGATAGTCCAAACATAGAAATAGTTTTCCATTCTGGAAATCAGAACTGTGGAAAACAGTTTAAAACTAGCTTCATTACTTATTTAAACCTTAAGATTCCTTACCACCTTAGGTTCCGTTTTTAATTTCATAAAAGTGCAAGAGTAATTGAGCAGTTTTAAACAAATTCAAAAAAGCCGCAAAGGTAAATACGAAAATTTTTAAAATGTTTTGTAGTAAACAGCACCTGACAATTACATTACTGAACTCAATTACATTGAGTAAAAGTGCAATCAAATAATGCCTGAACCCATTTCAATTAAAACCGAAAAAATTAGGATAATTATCGGCAGGCGCATATTAATGTACCCTCAATTAATTTAAGAAAGAAAAACCTAGAGTTGTAATATTGTACAATTAAGGGTGTATTTGTTTGTCCGCATACCTTTTTCAGCTTTAAACAAGAAAGGACCCAAACTTCGGCAACCCGAAGCTCCTGCAGATATTCAAATTAAAAATTCCTTTAAACAAGTAAATTTACATTTTTACGTGTATATGTTTAAAAACATTGTAACTATGATGATTTTCAGACGAATTATTCGGTTGTTCTAATGGCATCTATATGATAACGTTTTCCGATTTTTAATACACTTGCAGAGGGTATTATAAATTCATCCAAAAGTTTGCAACGTAGTGAAGTACCTACCCTATCGATCTAGCCATATCCGTCCCATGTGTTGTACCCTCTGCAAGGGTATAAAAATAATACCCTTTGCAAGTGTTTATAAATTTGTAAAATATCACAAGATAATTGCAGTACACATATATCAGGTAATGGCAGAACGCTAGCACCATTAGAATGCTGTCATGGCAATGTGGGGACAAAACAAAAACATTGCATGAAGCAGACTAAGCTATTGCAGGGTTGAATTCCACAAGTCCGCCCTTCGAAAGTTATGTAATCAACGATTTTGGTATATAAATACATAGTAAATGCTTTATTCATAATTTTTGTATGCAATTCGAGCTCGCGTTGATTGATGCATTTTCCAAATAAAACTCTTTTTTCGAGATTCTCATTACAAGGACGAATAGAATGAACAGTGTACAGTGTACAATGTACATATATACGAGAATATATGTTCTTTATAAATTTATATATTTCCTTTCGGTTGGGAATTCTCAACAGTTTATAGATTATATGCTTAGTTATAAACAAAAGATGTCATTATTAACGTGTTTATTTAGTTATTTCCTGGGGTAACCGTTTAACAAGTAAAACGTTTGTACAAAGCCTTTGGAAACTGCATTGTCTGCTCGTTCGTTAGGTAAAAATCGAATTATTCCAATATTAAATAGGATATACAAAATGTAAGCGTTTCATCGTATCGCCTTAAACTAAGTTTTTCTTCTCGTTTCTTTTCGACAAATACCCAACTAAATGGCTTACTTCAAATTATTATTGTTTTCTTCATTGTGTAAGTGCGTTCAACGACTGTAAAAGTTAATGAGAATGTGAGGAGTGTGTGCTGCTGGATGCGGGTGTGCCTCTCGATGTGTTTGATGGGTGCACATGGCCCTTAGTAGGCGTTTCGGCGCTTGTAGTTGCGCACGTTGTTGGCCAGGCAACAGGCAAAGATGAAGCCGATCAGCTGAAAAAGTAATTCGGCAATAAAAATCGATCCCACAAGCTTGGTCAACTAATGCTAATGCTAATGCTCACCTCAACCGCAATAAGGCCGATGCCCGCATACTTGGCGGTCTCACTGCCAGCAGACATTAGCTCGACGAACTTGCCACGGCATCCAGGGTAATAGTTGGTTGGAAGCAGGCACGATCCATTGCAGCAGCTGGCAGGCAGCGATTTGGCTTGAATAAGGTAGTCCGCAGCCGAGTTGGGTCCGCAGCAGTGCAACTAGAACATCAAACGGTTCGATCAGAAACATATCAAATGCCCAGCTCAACTGGGGATCCCTTACCGATCCTTGAATGGCATCGAAGACACCTCCCTCCCCCTGGTGGTCCGCTTTCCAGGCGTTGTCTATGACGTCGCCCATGGCCTTCTCGTACTTGTCCTTGTTGGTGAACAGCAGCACAATCAGCGTCAGCTGCAGGATCAGCAGAATCAGCAAGAAGACGGCATAGCTCATGGTCATGCAGACGGATTCGCGAATGGCGCCGCAGCATCCCAGGAACGAGATGAAGACCACAATCGAGCCCAAACTGATCAGTACAATCGGCATGAGGGCCTGTGGGGGGAAGCCCACCTGTCCATTGACTTCAATTGTTCCGATGCTCTTCAAGATCAGCACTCCATAGACAATGGCCAAAATGCCGAGAACCTGCGTAAGAGAAAATACATTAATTAATTAATTTAATTAATTTAAATAGGGCAAATGTTTTTATTTCCTTTCTGGGAGATTCAAATAATAACACTATAATAACAATCAAATATCATTTGGCCCGAAAGAATAGTTATATTGGTTTTTTTCTTCGAAATAAATAACTTTCAATCGGTCAACAACAAGGCGTAAGATACACGCATCAGATAGATACTGCAATTGCACTTTCAACGAACAGCTCTAAATATAGTTCAAATTAATCAGCTTGCTCTCGTTTATTTTAATTGAAAGTGGAGGAGTAAAAGAGCTTTCGCAATTACAATGCTAAAAATGCTTAATTACCACCGAACCCTGGAGCTGACCTCAGGGATTCCAAGTCGATCCCAGGCACGCCATCAGCGGCGGAAAGTTGATGATAATTAAAATAAGTACACGCTTTACGTAATTCCCAACTAAATAGTTGGCTAGGCTAACAACGCTATATTGGTCCAAGAGTATTTGCTGGCCAAACAAGGCAAAGGCCTCCTGATCTGCTGCGATTAGATAAGGCGGCCCAAGATGAACACTGAAAGCCGTGAGCATCCGTGACATTCACACATGACAATGCCGTACAGATCTCGACAAGGTCTGCAGTGCACGTAGTTTTGGATTTTATGGCGAGTTTCAGTGGCCCAGACGACAATGCAAATCAACTTTGATCTTTCGGCAGCAACGACTGCCTGATTTGCAGCCACAATTGCCGCGCCAACAATTGAATTTGCTTGATTTCATTATGTGCACATGCTGCTCGCGGTAACTGTATCTGTATATTATACACATCTCTGTGGGGTGTGTGGGCTGCCATCATTTCCACAAATTCAGAACTCGAGCGGCTGTGCGCGAAGAGCTTTGAATACATTCGTGGGAGGCGGCCACTGATTCACATGTACTTTGCAGCTGGATATGATTCCATGTCAAAATTGACCTAAAAATATTCAAAAATCCGAACAAAAGAAAGCATCGCCACTCTGCTGCTAATTGTTCCACTTTGGCAGCACTAATAAACAAAATGCTGCTGCATAAAAACAACAGTTTTCGTTTTGAAACCTGTTTGCAGCCGCCAACTTTTCCTCTCCAGCTTTTACTTATGCTAGCCCGATTTCTGCCAACGAGGACATTACACAATCCACATAAATATGGCCGAGACAATGCTGTCGGCCACATTCCGTTTAAAGCTGTCAACGACAGCTCCAATGACGTCACACTGAAATAATAATATAATGCAAATCGCTTTACCAAGTAGTGGAATGCCTGGAGCAAGGGTCTGAGATCATATTTCCGGACCAAAAAACCACCCTGAAGATAATCGAAAATAGTTGGGAAGTTTGCATACTGGAATAAAAAGATAAATATATATCTATTTATGTGGTGGACCACACCCAAAGCTGTGAATTGTTTTGTTTACCGCCAAAGTGCTGGCATCTTCAAAACAAACAAGTAAAACGGAGTTGTGAGCATAAACGTACAAGTATATATGGTTCAGCAGGAGTAAGACATTATGAGCAACAGGACATATGCGTGTTGCAAATTAACAATTAAGTGATAAAAGTGTACATTTTAATTGCCTAAGACATGCAATAGATATTTGTATCTGTCAAGCTGATTTCAACAGTGATGAAACAAGTGTAAAAATTAAAGCTGTTCATGTATTCCGGCGATTTTTTTGTTTGTATATATAAACTTTGTACTTGCTTTAATTTTTGTATTATTTTAGAAACATTTCCTTCCCATATGAGCGGGTTTATCTCTTATTTCAGTTTAAAAGCTACATACTTTGAGTTAAAAAGTATATACGTATAATTCGACTATATCAATTGTAATTTGACTTAATTTATTTGTATATAAATAAACACTTGTTTATAATACTTATATATATTTGTTAAAGTCACCGTTAAGACAAATCTTTTAACCGAAAACCAATTTATAAGCCAAGTAACAGAAATGTTTTTCAGTAATTTTTCATATTTTTAAATATGGACATGTAAACCATCTTACTAATAATATATTCCAATGAAAATCGAAAGATGACACATCATCGATCGAACAACATTCCCGGGTATCTCACTCAACACCAAGTTTTGCTTTAGCTAAACGGATATGTAAATATTTACTCCTGAAGTAGTTTGTTCAGTGTTTCATGACACAGGAAACGACTGCCGATAAGCTGAATGCAGGTCATTTTCAATACTCGGTGGCCTTACATTCATGGGCGGCACTGCACGCCCTTATGGCAGCAAGCAAGCAGCTGTGACCGAATAGTTGTGACTATTATAATAATACAGGTTTCTCATTTGACATGCGAAATTTATACTAGAGGTTCTAACTCGCATTTTACAGAGCTGAGCAGAATATTAAACTAGAAACTGTGAGAAAAACTTCACACTCAAACGTGGTGCAAATAACGGGTTCTGTCGTGAAATAAGATCACTCAATTAGTGATAAAGCTTTTTTCAACGCAGTTAGAATATTTTGTATTTCAATGGCTTTACTTAAAAATCAAGAACTTTGCGAACAAATTGAATTAATGAACAAATTCAAGTTTGTCGAATTGTAAGCTTGTATTTTGTTCTGACTGTTTTCCAGTTGTTTTTCCCCTTTTTTTTCAAACTGCGAAATGTTGTTGCTGCTGTTTTTTCGAGCGTTGCGGCAGCTTTTTTTCATTTTAGGTGTATTGGTACTCGGCGAGCTCTAAAAGCGGCTTGTTAATTTATTTGGCTTGTCTGTCAAGTGTGTTATGTACTCAGATATATACTCGTGTGAAGCAGATAAATATCAACACGGCACACTGTAAGTGACGACTATGTATACTACAAACTTCTGCTCCGCCAACCAGTTGTATATGGTTTGCTTTTGTTTTATCGCTCTTCTCTAGAGCAACAAGTTTTTATTTTCGTCTGTTCCTTTGTTTTTTCTGCTCATTTACCTACTTATGTGCAGGCATGTTTAGGCCCACAGGTGCGGGCAAATCAAAAGCCCTAAAGACTGTACATAAATTACAGAAATTAGCTGAAGTTTTTAGGTCTAAGCCATCTTAATAAAATACGTGTAACTTAAAAACCACTCACAAACAAATAGGCCAATACAAAAGCATGAATTTTATAATTTGAATTTGAATTCAGAATCCCAATACAATTTTTTTTTGAATTTCACAAGCCTTTGTTGGCTTTGTTGATAACATTTTGACCGCAGGTGTAGCTTTTTTAATATTTTCAATACGTTTCGCTTTTCGGTTTGTTGTTTTGCCTTTGTGACTCACTTTACGGCCATTTTCAGGCGCCCTAACGAATGCTAAGTATTCAAAATTTCTCGAGCATTGCAATATTATTTGCTTTAATTATTATTTTAAGCACAGTTTAAGGTTTTGTGTCAGGCAAGGCTATCTTGTGTGAGTGAGTGAATCACTCAAGCAAAAATAAGCTAAGTCTGGAAAATAAAACTCAGAATACTCAGTGTTTATGGCAGTATTCGATTACAAAAAAGTCTGATAAATAAAAGCTAAGCTTTTTCCCACACACATTGCTGGGGTAAATACTTTTGAGATCATTTTTATAAACATATAAAAGCAACCGGTTCTTGCTTTTTAGGAATTTTCATCGACTTTGGTTTAACGATACTAGGTTATTTTTTACTAACAGTATTAATCGCACAACAAACTAGAAAAAGAACATTAGTTTGGATTTGACAACACATTTTAAAAGACGTTTTGGTTTTGGTTTAAAAAATGATTCTTTTGAATTAAAATTCGTTTTTAGGAATTTAAAGAGCTAGAACTAAAAACTGAAAATACCGAGAGAAAAAACAAATAATTGCATGCCAAGAAGTTTACAAATTCCTGTTCTCAACGTAAATAAATAAGGGTGAACTTCTCGGAACCGGGGGAATTTGGCCCGATTGCGAAAAATCCAGTTGCTGAAATGGAAGCTGAACAACTCACAGCGGCGATGACATCACCAAAATTCAATAACGACTCTGAAGCAAAATGCAAACAACAGAAAAGCACGAGTTCTCAGTTTCTCAATGCGCCGCCTCTGTTCTCGGGTTCGTCTGAAAATTACCGGGCATTATTTTTATTATACGTGGATTTCTCCAGGGGCTGCCGCTGACGCCTTCTTATATGTAACTCAGTATGCACATTGCATATGCCATTGCCATTCGACTGAATTTATCGACTCGTATTTCGACAACACTTTCGTAACACATTTTGTCCCATTTTGGCTTTCACGCAACTGTCTTTGTACCGGTTTTGTATCGGTTTCGGTTTTGGTTTCGTTTTCGATTTCGATGGCTATAAAGCAGACAAATTAACTAATTTACTCTTTACTCACCGACACAATGGTGTTGAATATGAAGAGGATGTACTTGACCAGAGATGTACCGCAGTCCATGTTGATGGGTCTTCACTGTACCTGTGCCTGGAATAGGGGAAGCGGAAAAGCGCAATTGAATTAATCACATTAAAACGGGTGTACAATTGGGTATTTGCCCAGCTGCCGACAAAATAACACTTTAATTGTGCGATAATTGTTCAATCTCAGCAGATGAATAGCGGGTAAACACACATACATATACAAATCGTAGCAAAAGGAAGATGAATCAGAAAGGTTATTTAAAGAGAGAACAGAGAGATAAGGTTTAACCAAGCATCCATTATCACCCAATTTTCTTTGGCGTCCTTTCATATGCGTCGCCCGGGCAACAACAAAACAAAGGCGAACGAAAACACAAAAGGAATGCAACTTTTCCACAACAACAAAAACGACTCAATGGGGCTTCAAGATTCAAGTGGAAAATAGGAAAAGTTCACTGCACTCTGTCAAGGAGAAGGAGATGAAGAAGAAGCACATCATTGTCTTAATTGCATACAATTTTCTTCCGCTTTTCACACTTATTTTGTCGTACTACGCAGTCTTTTGTTTTCGCGTCTTCTTTCGACCACTTTTCTGGCTTGCAGCATCTGAATATTTTTTTGTCCTGCCGCAACTTTGGCTTATTATTTTTTGTCATATTATTATTTTCCGCTGACACTTATTTAAGATAATTCCGAGAGTCGCAACATACATAGTTCATTAAACTGGACACGCGTCATTACCTTCGACTTGTAATTATTTCCAAATTAAATTCCAACGAAATGCGCGTCCGTTCGAGTCGAGCAACTTTTTTTTAATCAGTGTGACCGTGGCGGGACTGCTCTTATATGTCATCCGAACGCCAGAGTTGTACAAAATTCTCCCTGAAAATGCCCACTCTATCTAGCGTGTACACAAACCGTAGTATGAGTCTCTGATAGGCCACTACCACGGCCTCAAACCAATGTAGAACTACGGAAGTTATGCCCTGTTCAGACTGAATCACATCACTCCGTTTTTACGAATTGTAGAATTTTAGAAATAAGAATTAAATAAGACTTAAAACGAAATATTTTTTTGTAGGACATTAAATACAGTATATATTTAATTTAAAAACAAGTGCCTTGGCCTAAAAAAAGGAAAATTTCTCTATCGTCGCTTCCTTTATTTTTGCTATTAGTGCGATGTAAATATCTAATGCCCGTTGAAATTAGTTTGACGTATAGTTAGGGCAGCTCGAGTTTTGGAAGAGATACCAAAAATAGACCGCAATAAATTCCGTGCCTTCAAATTAGTGCTGTAAACTGTAGTAAACTCTTTTCCTTATCAACGGCTGGCACAGAGATAAGTCAAGTTTAACAAAGCTTTTCACGAGAGGAAGCCCGCTAATAAAGAACCGTCTACTGACAAACTTTTTCAGTTACTATATAACATCGAAACGAAACGCATCGAGTAATTTATATTTCTTTCATCGAAACCGACTGAAACTGATATACATTTTTGCAATGGATTGCGGCGGAGTATTTGTGAAATATGTGCTTTTTGTGTTTAACATACTGTTTGTGGTAAGATAAGTTTCCCAAGAGATACGATACCAGCGAATATCTCCATTAGTCAACATTGGAGGGGCTCGAAAATAAAATCCCTTGGCTTGTGCAATATCTTATCTGCAAACCAATGACAAATAAACTCTTGAGGCTCAAGATTTCCGACTGCACCGCCCTGGATACAGCTTTCAAAAGTTATCTTATCGAGGAATACAGGGCAAAATGGTTAAAAACAGCTAAAAAACGTTGTTTTCCTTAAATAAATCATCGCATGCCAATGACGAACGTAATTACGGTTAATGAGCTGGAACAGTTGACGGAAAACATGCTGTACTCGGGAAAGATAACAGCATGAGTAATACGATCGTGTGAAGTATCTAGAGACATCCCCCTGTGATAGATCTTCATGTTATATGGTATATGGTGATGAAATTGTTTGTCAGATGCATGATGCTTTGTTATCTGTAAACGCTGCGTGGAAATTTAATTTGATCGTCGTCTCTTTCACCTTTTCAGGAGGTGTTAAAGCTTCGTTTTGCCCTCGAAAGTAATCAATATAATTAGATAAAATTTACGATATCCCTGATAATTAGAGTGAGCTTTTACCCGCCGTGTAAAGTACCCGATGCGATTGGGAACAATAACTTGGGCGGGGGTGGCTGTTATCCAATTCGCTTGAATCACCACCCGGTGACTGTTACCGTTACCGACTAACTAATTGACTAACATAACTGATTTTTGGTTTTTGCATTGCAGATATGCGGCATTTTGCTTATCACGCTCGGCTCCATTATGGTGTCAACCATAAAGGACTTCTCGAACGTCGGTGAGACCTTCACGGCCAACAGCGTGGCGATCATCATCCTGGTCCTTGGCTGCATCATCTTTGTGGTGGCTTTCACGGGCTGCTGCGGTGCCATTCGCGAGAATGCCTGTGCTCTGACCACGGTGAGTTAAGGGATCTTTGGCCAGCAGAACCAGCTTTGTATGTATGAACGTTTCCCTACTCTTTCAGTACTCCGTTGTCATGCTGGTGGTGCTGATCAGTCAGCTGGCTTTGATAATCTACGTGTGGGTGTACCATGTGGAGATACAGAAATCCCTGGAGAAGATTGTCCAGACCATTTGGGATCAGCGCAAAACCGATTCACTTCTCATGGACACACTGCAGCGATCCGTGAGTCTTTTTCATTTATATACATATATGAAAATACCTTATTTTTATACAATCAAAAATTTAGCTTTTGTTTAGTTTTTTTTACGAAACATCTTTCCTTTTCTAGACTTCTAGACTACTTATAGTTTGAGTCTGATTTTCTTTTAGTTTAAATACTTTTTAGAAATCTATTTCATGATTTTTAAACATTTCGACTTTGGGAATAGTTTTAAAAGTTAAATCGATTCGTTATTAGAAAGGCACCTGTTTTCCTAATCAATGTCCTTTGCTTGCAGTTCAAGTGCTGTGGTCTCAACGGTTTTGCCGATTACGGCGTTAAGTATCCCGCCTCCTGCTGCGACGCGCCCTCCAATGGAACCTGCGCACTTACCCAGGTTATGAATCGATCCAGTTGCCTGAACGCCGTCGATTCGTTCTGGGACACCAACGTAAATATTATTAAGTACGCTGGTCTCGGTGTGACCGCTGTTGAGGTAACTTAAATCTTAAGCTCTCCGAATTCGCCATACTAACTGGAAACATCTTTCCCTCAGCTTGTCGCCTTTATCTTCGCTTGTTGCTTGGCCAACCAGACGCGCAACTCCCAGAGACGCCAGAACTACTAAGCGTTTAAGCAAGCATCCTTTAATGTATTAGTTAGACTATCTCCCCATCTTTTTGACAAAGTAAATGTATCAATAAAGATTTAAAAATAAACTTTTCATTGAAAATCCTTTACATACCGACACATTTACGTTTTTGAATGCTACCTAGCAATTAACTTTAATAAAACTAGGCTTTGAAGTTGATTTTCTGCTATCTATATTTTTATCCATACTTAAAAAAAATGGTATTTTGTACCAAAAAGTTAATATTCTGTTTCGATTTCTATGCACATATGTATGTTCAAAAACAATGAAACTCTATCTATTTATGGCCGTAAATCAAATTACCATTTTTCTTTTAAAACCAAAAGTCACAAAAAACGAATAATAAAAAATTAAAAAAACAATACAAATCTTTATTAATCATTATATTTGAGATTTATTTTTGTTGGTCAAGAACAATATTATGCCCTAAGTTTTATTAAATTACTTAAACATAATAATTTTTAATGAAGAAAATATTTAAAAAAATGATAATTTAAAAATCATGACAATTAGGCATTGATTGAACAAATAGGATGATTTTGGTATGTACCATTAATTTCTAGGCCAATTATATGAGGCTGATTTTTAATTTAGCCTATGTACGGTTCCTGATTATTTTACATAACCGGCATGAATATTTTGGAAAGTAAAATTGACAAAATATCTACACACGTAAATAATTTCAGGTATCATGTACGAATTTTATACATATAAATATCCTACATAAAACTACATATAATTTACTTTTGCAATTGTTTAATCATTTTTATATTTGTTTTATTATTAAAACTACAAAATTACTTATTACTTCTATCAATGTAATACATTTTCTAAAAGTCATAATTTCATACCTTCCTATAAGGTATTCATATTCTTGACCAGCATCACTACGAGATAGTCGATCTAGCCATGTACGCCAGTCCCCCTGAAAATATTATAACTTAGCTGTTTTTACATTTTTTTTAGTTATCTTTTCTATAATTAGCAATGGTTTCTTTTTTAAGAATTACGGTTTAAAATTAATTCAAATCGGACGACTGTTAAATATAGCTCCATGAATAAAAAAATGGAATAATAAAAATATTAATTTTAACTCAACTCAAAAACCTGACATCTATTTACCGTAGAAAGTTGGAAAGTTCATTCGGTATCGACAGATGTTGAACGAATAAATATATACCAACCAAAAATATGTTTCTATTTATTTATTTTGTGAGTATAAATACAGTATTACTTTTATTGTGAGTGTAAAAAAAAAATATCAATAAAAAAGCTTTTTTGTTTCTTTCTTGTTTAGAATATTTTATTCAGGATCACCTTGTGATAAAACCTTTTTCTTATTGGATAGCAAATTTAAAAAAGAAGTACTCAAAAAATTTATATTGTTTCCGTGATCAATAATATACAGATTATACTTAATGGATTTCCATTGAAACAAATACATACTTTTCTTTAGTTGAAACATGAAGGAAAGCTATTGTCGACTATTATCCATTACAAAACAAATTTGCTTCTTGAAAACAATCGGGTTTTAAGTGGCGGCATCTGTCAAACATTTACATTTATGCTAATAACTTAATAATTTCGTTTCAAAAAAAAATATTGTATAAGTCTGTCCTATCTCAGGCAGGCTTTTGCGATTTGTGGGCGTTAGAGTAGGAATGGTCACTTCTGTAAATAAACGTGCGCTGCGTAGACATAACAAGAATCTGAATGTTAAATGCCGATAACACTAATTTATAGCCGAAATACCCAGAAGCCAATGATACAAATTTCTGGTAGAGTACGACTTTTAGATTACGTGTTTTATTTTATATTTCGAGTTGTGGCCAAGCGATCTTGGAGCATTTCAAAAAATTTTACTACCAATAGATCAATCTTTAACATTGTCATACTGAGTAAATGGATTATGTAAGTCATTTGTGTGCAAGAGCTCGACAAAGACCAATTTTTTTTTTAAAATTTTGGTCTGTTAAACCGCTGTAAAACGACTGTAAAACAGCTGCTATATCCTTAAAAACTCGAAAAAATCGGTTGAGAAATTCTCGGTACCCGACTTAATCGGACAAGCTAATCATGCCAGAAATTCATTGGAAATTCGAATTCTTGTGGGCAATATTCTAGGAATATGAATTACATTACAGTGTTTGATAGTATTTTTAACCTTGCCAACACATTCATATGAATAATAGTGATAAAGCTTGTGACACAATGGGAATCGACAATAAAGCTTTTTTTACAACACTGATTTAAAACTTTATGAGCCATTTCATGTTTATTCTCATATATTTCATTGAACCTTTTTTCTTGTGTAAATTGTTAGACAGCCTTTTCAACGGATTTTTTTCGGGTTTATTTACGACATCGAAATACTTAAGCCTACTTTGATTGCTGAAATTGCTGCAAATAAAACTTAATATTAAATCATATTACTACGCAATAAAGTAATGTTATTTAATATTAAGTTTTATTTGCAGCAGTTTCAGCAATCAAAGTAGGCTTAAATATTTCGATGTCGTAAATAAACTCGAAAAAAATCCGTTGAAAAATCCTTGGTACCCGACTAAATCGGACAAGCTAATCATGCCAGAAATTCATTGGCAATTCGAATTCTTGTGGATATTTAAAGTTAGGCGTTTTAGTTTTTTTCGGCCGTTAAGCACAAAATTTAACAATATCTTAGTAGGCTTTAAGTTGCCTCATTTGTTTACTTACTATAATTGCGGTCCAAACAAGATATTTGATGCAAAAAAGCGAGAGAAAACAACAGTGCGCTTCAAAAACGCTCAGTTCGAAATCAAAACTGTATTGATAATATTGATATAATCGTCTTGCTACTGCGTTTATCATAAATATTGTGTTAGAAATGATTTATTTAGCGTTGTTATTCAAAAATTAGGCATAACCCTGTCCTCCGGCGCCCTGGGTGCGCATACAGTTGGTAAGGGCGCCGGCGATTAGGAAGACGATCAGGTCGAAAATGCATAGGCCAAGACCGGACCAGCGAATGATGTCCATGTTGTCGTTCCAAAACTCCTCGAACTTGTCATTGCAACCGGGCTTCGATGTGTAAACCGAAGGGGTGCTGCACGTTTGCTGGCGATTCAAGTAGCCGCAGCAGGTTCCGGGAACCGGGAGGCCGATAGCTTTGTAGTTGGAGTAGCTGGTGTTGCCGCAGCAGCCGAAGGTTTCCTCCAGCACGCCCAAGGCAGTATACTCCTGGGAGTTCCACAGCGTGCTTACCAAATTGCGCATGTCGCCCAGGAATGCAGATCGGTTCACGAACACCCAACAGGTGAGCACCAGTTGCAGGATAAAGAGGATGAAAACCATGCTGGTGTACTGCACAATACATTAGTTGTAGTTTTGGGTGTTTTTGGGTTTTGTCCCACTACTCACCGCTCCCGTCATGCAGGCGCTCTGCCTGAAAATGCCATAGCAGCCGAAGAAGGACACCACGAAGATCAGACACCCCAAGACGGTGATGCAAATGGGGATTGTGTCAGGGTTCGTCCCATCAGCACGATCGAAGTGACTGAGATCGGACAACATAATCGAGCCCAGCACGATCAGAAGGATGCCAACGATCTAAACGAATCAAAAAGTTCAAGATTAAAATGAAAAAATGTTTATTATTTCAGAATATTTTCAACTATGATTATTTATTAAAGTTATTTAAAAAAGAGATTTATGATATATTCCTGCAAAAGTTGGCAAAAGGCTTGTATGAACAAAAAGTTCCGAGGAAATTTATGATGTTGAGAAATTCGATTGTATGTATGGATATTAAACGTAAATATATTAAACGTACAGAATTGATCTTGGGCTAAATATTTTGAACTTGAAATATCCATCTAGATATCTAAAAAATTTTCACAGGTACATTCCCATATTTAATCGGCTAGTGATTAATGAATATTTCTTAGTATAAATAAAGCCCCTACTTCTTTTTCATAACATATCGTTATGTGTATCTATTCACATACAAAACACAGATAATGTCAATTATCTGATTAAGTTTGTGTTTGTTAAAAGGCATTACAGTGTTTGATAGTATTTTAAACCTTGCCAACACATTCATATGAATAATAGTGATAAAGCTTGTGACACAATGGGAATCGAAAATAAAGCTACCGATGCGTAATTTACGAATTTTCTGGTTTTTTTACAGCACTGATCTAAAACTTTATGAGCCATCTCATGTTTATTCTGATATATTTCATTGCACCTTTTTCCTTGTGTAACGTAAAAGTGATTTAAAAAATATTTTGTTAGTAAGCCTTTGTTTTTGCGTTGTAATGTGAATTAATATAAGGTTATATTAGCAGCCATTTCACCAATCAAAGTAGGCTTAAATCTTTCGAAGACGTAAAGTAAAGTCGAAAACAAATTGTTTTAAAATAAATCCTGTCAAATTAAAATTAATTTTAGCCACCAAGGCAACACAGCGCACTTTTAAGCAGACAATGTTTGTGTTATTTGAAACCAATTGTTAATTTCTTTGAAAGGAATACTTCTGAGCAAATAATAATAATTTGTGTATTATTTATTTAGTAAAAAACATTATCTTTTCTATCCAAAAACGTTAACTATTTCTTGATTGATTGAAATCTACACACACAACAAATAGACTTAGGTCACTTTATTTTTATTTGGAATTTTACAAATGTCCTTGTTTCCGTAGCTATTCAAATTATCCAAATTATCCAAACACTTACCAAAAACACGACATTAACAATATATAAAATGAAGTTGACTATTCCCGATAGACAACCCATTTTAAAAACTTTTTTTTGTTTCAATTTACAAGTAATACAATTTGGATAATGTTATCCGAGAGAAGCTCTGATTTGCTGTGATTTTATCGCGTATTCGCGTCGCTTACTGTCGTTCGATTGGACTGGTCTTCCATATGGGCTACCGTTTTTAAATTGTCCAACAGACACGGGCGATATCGGAAAGATACGCGAGTGCCAGATATCGTAATCGTGGCCCAAAAGGAAGGATAGATAATGGGGCCTGAATGTTGGGGAAATCGATAACAATTGGCATATGGAGTGATTCATTGCTGAGGGCATTTGATCTCACAAATGTGGCCGTGGGCTTATCGACTGATAGGGACATAGTTTTTGGAAAAACATCAACTTGTCTTGTCTGATAAGATAGGCGGTGGCCAAAGATAGACAGCGAATAACCAATAGTATTTCTTTGAGCTTAACCTATTTCGGTTTATTTACGGTAAGTGATGGACGTGTTTTGGAATTTATGCTACGAACAGGGCTACATCTATTAGCTAACAGCTAAGAAGTTGCCTCAGATTACACTCTTAACGCTTCCTCATCGCGCTGGCCAGGCAGCAGGACATGATGAAGATGCCAAGCTCGAAGAGGGCTATGATCAGACTGCTCCATCGAATCAGTTCCGTGCTGGCTTCCCAGAAGTCCATGAACTCAGCCTGGCAACCGGGTCGCTGGGAGTAGATGTCGGCCTCACACGCCTGGTTGCGATCACTGTAGCCGCAGCAGGAGGCTGGCACAGCGCCATTATAGTCGTTGTATCCGTTTTTGCCACAGCATTTGAGCTGTAATTAAAATTATTATTATTAGATTGACATTAACAAGCCTTGGGTTATATTATTTGTCTGGCTTCATTTCTGAAAAACTTACGGCCAACTGAAGGGCATCCATGGGATATCCCTGGGCGGCATTATTCTCGTTCCAGGCCTTGTCCACCACCTTTTCCAAGTTGGTCATGAACTTGTCGTTCGCCGCGAACATCCAAATCGATAGGGCCAGCTGGAGGCCAAACAGAATCAGCATGCAGATGGCGTACTGGAGATGCAGATGGGAAGTAAACAAGTCAGTATCCCGAATCGGATGGGCAATGGATCCCAAAGACTTACAATGGTAGTGCAGCAGGGGTTCTCGCGAATGGTGCCGCAGCATCCGAAGAAGGCCACCACGAAGGTGACACAGCCGATGACGATAATTATGATTGGAATTGTTGCTGTGCTGACTTCGCCGTCGAAGGAGTTGAAGTCACCCATCTGCGAAAGCGTGATGGAGCCCACCACGATCAGCAGGATGCCACCGGCAACGAAGATCAGGTTGAGCAAGTACAGCAGGTACTTGAACGTCGCGGACAAGCAATTCATGGTGATGGATTTTTCGGTTTCTCGTTGGTTCGCTGGATAATCCGTTCGTTCGAATCGACGATTTTCGTCAAACTGAATTGGCTATCTGGCAGAAGTCGGCTATTAAAGCGTATTCGAAAGCCTCATCTTATCAGAAGCACTATTATCTCAGCCATAAAGTGCCCTATGTACTAGCTCTGGAAGCTCTCTTTCCTATGTACTTGAAATTCAGTTGTTCAACTTGCACCCGCTTAGATAACCAAGAGACCATAGAGGGTGTACGAACTTGGGCATTTACGTACTCAGCGGACTCTGTGAATCACATGTGGTTTGGTCTAAACTTTTGGAGGGGGCGGAAGTTATCTGACATTCATAAAATTCAATCTATGGGGCGTTGGTCCTCTCGATAAGATGAATCACTTAGCATTTTAACACTTCGCTGCCTTTCACACTTTGTTCTTATCATGAGGAAAGGTTGGTTTGAACGCTGACTCACAAATTTCACATTTCGTTACTTACTCGTGAGTCCCCGAGCTTATCGCGTTGATTTATGTACTATCAATCGAATAATAAACTTTTTAACGGGTGCACTACGAACGTAACTCACAAGCCGATTTCGATTTTGATAGCAAATGGGGTTTCCAGAGGAGATGAACTATCCTTCGACATTAGAAATGGCTCTTTCACTTTACTAATAAAATACATGAATAAAGATTAGATTGCATATTGCATTCCACAAAGTCAACAAAATGTAATCTCCTGATATGTTAGTTCATTGGAAATGTGTCAATAAAATCAATGATTGATAAGAGCGGTCATCTAGTTTAATGTTTGCTACCCTTTTAAACATCTATTTTTGATCGGTTCTTACTTGGGAATAGTTTAAATTCCTAGGCCTACTAATTTTCAATAACAATAAACATAGGAAATAGTTTAGTTGAGTATAAACGGCACTTCTGCTTCTTGTTTGTTTAAAAATGTTTTTTTAATGCAGAAAACAAATATTTTTACCTGGTACAATATAACATAACAGTGCGCAATCAGTGCAATATATAATAAATTTCTCAGTTTATTGCAATCTCTAGGAGTATAAATTATTTTTTACAATTAAAAATATGAGCACAATCAATATAACTCTCAACTAACGATCTTACAAAACGGGATCATCTCGCATTCGTCATGGGATTTGCTGCTTAAACTTGAGATTATGTAAATTTCAATGGCCATCTGTGTCAGGTGATATGTATTCGCAAAATTGGGCAACATAATTCGTACTTTCGGTTTCAATTAAAATTTGTAAAAAGACTCTCTCTTCCATCGATTAATAGTCCGCACGGCGTCGATAGTTCCGAATGCTGTTAGCCAGGCAACAGGCAAATATAAAGCCCACAAACTATAAGAAAATAAGAAGTTATACAAGCATTAATAAATTTATTAAATTACCAAAATAAATATATGATTATCGTTTTATGGTAAAATTCCGAACTTTAAAGATTTTCTGTAAGCAGTTTAATATAATTAAAAAAATGCTAAATAATGTTAATAGAGCCAAATCATATTAACAATATAAAACAATATTTAATCTTTTGATTTCAAAAACTTTCAAGAGCTTCATTTCATTGAGATGCATTACATTAAAAATCTTAGATGCCATTCCTTAGATTTCCAATTCAATTTTCATCATATTTAAACTAAATCAAAAGATAAAGTGGTTAACAGCCTTAAAAAAAACAACGAAAAATGTTGTTGTGTAAATATATAACATGCGTGTTATTGATACTAATCAAGAATTGGTCTTCTTTTTAACAGGTAGTAAATACACAGGACATAAATTAAACCCTTTCGTTAAAAAGAATTTTATTTTTTGTCTGTTAAAATACTCTTTCTGGGGAAACCGCATCTTTGTAAAGTAAAGCTATATTCTGTGTCAAAACTAACCTCAATACCGGCAATGACCAGGCCAGCGTACTTAATGATGTCGCTGTTCCTGTCCCAGAACTCGACAAAGGCGACCTTGCATCCGATCGGGTACACGGTCGCATTGCTGCAGTTGTTGGTGTCTCTGCAGCAAGAAGGTGGGAATTTACCCTGGTAGGAGTAGTCGGCGTATCCACTGCGTCCACAGCATTTCATCTGGAGTTCCGAAAATGAGTTAGAGGTAAAATACATGTTTACATCGCATGCAAACTGCGAACTTACGCTGATCTGAATTGCATCCATGTAGTCGGAACGACGGGTGCGATGCTCCCAGGCCCTCTCCACCGTATCGCCCATGATGCCCAAGAACTTGTCCTTCTGCACCCACATGTAGATGACCAAAGCCAGTTGGCCAATCATTAGGACGAACAGCAGAATCGAGTACTGCAATGATAGGAATCAGTAAAAGTACTCAAAAGTAATCGAAAACACCCAACCGTCATGGACATGCAGTAGGACTCGCGAATGGCGCCGCAGCAGCCGAACCAGGAGATCAGCAGGATGATGGCGCCCAGGATAATCATCGTGACGGGCACCTGCTGGGTACGCAGTGCATCCGCGAAATCATCGATGTTGTGGACTTTGCTGAACAGCAGAGCTCCAAAGACGATTAGCAAGATGCCGCATATCTGAGGAAGAAAACATTTTAAGTTATAACACAATCAAGTCCAAAGCTAACCATTATAGTAGCTAAAAAGATATTTATGACCACCAGTTTCATCTGCACAAATCAGGCTCAATTTGAAAATGAAAACAAAAGCAATAATCTCAGAATGGTTTATAAAATTAAGTGATCTCTTTTTTAACTGATACCAGTCTTAAACAAAAACATCCCTTAACGATGTAAAAAAGTAGTGACGATCTCTCCATTAATATACAAAATTTCTGACGCCAAAAAAACATTAAAAAAAACATAAAAAACATACTTTCGTGGTTTTTAAGATATTCGCTTATATCTTGCTCACTTTTTTGCACTGTACCTGAATTCAAATAATTAAGCTTAAATTAATAATAGTTTTAAAACTTAATTTTTAAAAATTATTTAATAATTGTAAAAACAAGTTAAAAAGAAATCGAGGACGTTTTCAAACGATTTACAAAAAAGTGCCAAATAAAAAAAACTTCTTGTTATAGTTTGAAAACTATTGTATTTAGACCAACTATGTTAAATCAGTGGGATAAGCATTTGACAAATTAGCTTGTTTTTCAAAGACTCGTGAAACAAATGTTTTTTCTTACGACCGGCCCATCATATAAAAAATTATTCAAGGGCCATTAAACCGACAGTTGAAGGCTCAAAAATAGTCGTTTTGAAATATAGAAGGAACATTTTTTTTAATAACTTTTGAACGGATCATCAGATCTATGCAAGTTTTGTGTCTTTTCAACCAAAATGAAACTAGGATAAAAAGTGGAACATATGTTATTACAAAACCGAAACCAAGAGCTTCAATTTAAAAAAAAAATTGTGTGTCACTTTTACCGCCCTTTCTTCTGAACCAATTCATTTTTGAAAAGTCTTATATTAGCGGATATGCGCACGTTCTTGGTGCGCATCGTCAAGACATGTACTGCCGTCCATAGTGACAAAGAAAAAAGAAAAGTTTCAGAGAATAAAACACCCTAAGCCTACTCACTTAAATAAATGTTTATTGGGATTTACGTAAAAAGCTTTCAAACGTCAAAAAGCTTTACCCTCTTTTGTTAAGCAACTTTTAGTAAGTGCAATCCACTGTAAGAAATCAAGGAAAAGTTTATCAGTTATGCCAGCTTTATCTTGGGTGTAGAGCAACTGAATAATAAATAGTTGTTATTTTTTAATTACCTTATTAAGCTGATAATCAATGTTGACGGCTTTAACCTATACATTTTCACTCGTGTCTTTTATCTCTTCGTCTCTTTAAAAATAATAAAATATTTCCAGATATGTGCGGTAAAAGAAAAATGTTTACTATTTTAATGAAATTTTTTTAGTTGCTCTTAATAACGACCCGGTTATACTTAAAGTCAATTTCGGAAGGTTCTGCTGGTTAAGTTTTTGTTTCGATGTGTGATCAACTGACAAACAGGGCATTTATCTATTACTTCTTGTTTATTCTATGATGAGTGGCAACGGCACTGGCCTGCCAATTTCCATGCCTATCAAAGGCTTATCTTTTATCAATCCGCTTGATTTTGTTAATTAAGATTTAATATAACAGTTCCAGCCAATCTACGATAACCATCAAAAACAAATTTACTTTGGCTTTGATTTTTTATCGCCCTGCGTCAACCCGTAATCATTCGATTAGATGCGACCAATTAAACTATTATTCATAAGAATTCAGAAATTTTTAAACTGCAGCATGACTAATCCGTTGAGTTCAGCAGTTCATTGGATCAGATCGGATCCGAAGAGAGCGAAATTGGGACACTAGTCTAATTATATTAATAACCAACCCACCCACCCACCAGTCTGATATTTCTATCTCTGTCCATCCATCAACCCCCACCAATCCGTTTAAAATTGAGTTCAAGTGTATCGTCTGGGGCGCCCACTTCCATTATGTTGCGTGTGTAGATGAAATGCTACTTGTTTCCGAGTTTTGGCTCGCCTCAAAATGGGAGCAAGTTCACAATTAATTAAGTCAACTATTTTCTGTTGGACCCTCTATTGTAATCACGCAACTTGACATTAAACATTGCTAGTGTTTTTGTAACATATCACAAATATAAAAACTGCATTGGTTTTATATTATAGAAATCATCAAAATGTTACGGTAGAAAATCAAAGCTTTTCTAATGGGTGGACTATAACTATGATATCTGATACTTCATGTATTTTTTTCTTGATTTAAATAATCTTTTCTTTTTGTATCGTTTTCTACCGTATCTAATAATAATAATGTATTGCAAGGCTTGAAAACTTACTAGCTGGATTAGCTGGAACTGAAGAATTCGCTGCTTAAAATTTTGAGTTTAACTTTAACATAAAAGTATAAAAGTGATGTTTTTCTCGCTGTTGAGAATGACATCCATGTTTGCGTGACGGGAATAATGCTTGGGCCTCCGGCTCCGTCCGATCACACCTGCAAATCAGGGCCCACAAACTGGTTAGGCCCAGTACAGTTTCACTCTGCGGTGCAGCCACTTTGGGGCAGTTAGTTAGAAGTTGCAAAACCATATCGAAAAGGCCACTGCTGGCTGGCGTTTCAACGATTGTTAGGTTGCTGTTTGAAACCAGTTAACCTCGAGCGGATGCCAACTAATGGGATGCATTTTGTTTCTGTGGTTGGTTTTAGGGGGAACTCTCTTGAACCAAACGAAACCAATTCAAACTCGTTTTCAGTCACCAAAATAAACAAAATACGTAGTATACACAAATTTATACCGAATTTTTGGGTACCGCTACGTCACTTAGGCAGCCCAGTTTTAATAACAGGTTTGGCATACTGATGATCTCAGGCTCTCTGCCCCCATATTACATGTACAGTGCGTTTCATAGCCGAAAAAACCTTATTATTAGTAAAAGGGTAAATTAGTACCGATCAGGGAACTGAAAACTTTTGATATTATGTTCTTGTTGGATCTTTGACAAAAAAATATAATAAAATTTATAACGAAATGAAAACCAAAATGTACAGAACAAAAAAAACTTACTCTTGTCAACAAGTTTTGGGTCGCGACTCTCTCAGTAAACAAACCAACAACATATTTTTAAGGATAAACCAGTTTTAACCGTACCAGAGTTATGATATCATAGCAGGTTTACAACTAAGGAAACTGAATTGTGCTTGGCCGGTGATGCAGGAAAATGATATAATCTAGATATGTTCTACTCACCGAACAGAGCAAATTGAATATGAATAAGATATATTTGACCATGGAGATTCCGCAGCTCATTTTGCTTGAGTTTTGTAGGAGGTTACTGGTGGAGGTGAAGGAAGAACTGCAACTGATCGTCCGTGGAACAAAAAAGAATGGAATTGAAAAATTCAGATACAAACGTCAAAAGTTAAGTATTTATCGTTTTATTTGGGAAACATCCACACACACACAGGCACACGCACTGATGTCATCCGTAGTAAAAACATTTTGTTTATTTGAACATTCAAAAGAAACGCCAGCGGTTTTTACTGGGTGTGGAAATTAGCACACGATCACGTACCGCCTGGGCATCGATTGTCGTTGGTTTCGTTGGTTTGGCTAGTAGCTAGCTAGCCCTAAAACTATTGTACTTTTTAGACTGAGTTGTGAATTTGTGCCTAGTTTACACAATTAATGGTGTATTTTTTCAAAATGTTTTGTCTTCGTTGGGTCTTAGAGACATTTTTATGGCAATCTATTTGACAATGCCTAACACAAATGCACAAGCTGGTTTAAAAAGCACATAAAGTAAAGATGAGGAGTAGCTGACCCTAGAACTAAGCTAATGGTAGGGAGGAGCTGTCCCTCAATTAAGTTAAAGGCAGGGTCTGGGAGCTCGAGATCAGCGCACGAGCTCCGGCAGCAGCTTCTCCTTGGGCAGCAGGCGCTGCTTCAGTTCGTGGTAGCGCCGCCAGATGTAGGGATAGCCAGAGGCCCAGGACAGGAAGGCCTCCTTCTCAGCGGTCGTCTGCTCCACCTTCTTCAGGTGCTGGTAGTACTTGCCGTTCCTCTTGACTCCAGAGGCAGCATCCTGGACGAATCGGGCGAAGCGGAGCTTGAGCAGGGTCTCCGAGACGTCCAGCAGGCGGTTGCCCTTGGGCGGATGGACCAGGCACAGCTGGCAGACGACAAAGTCCTGTCCTTTGGGAGACTTAAGGGGCAGAAATGTGGCTTCACGTCCAATGAGGCACTGCTGCAGCCAGGAGTAACCGTTGGCATTCACCCGCACGCCTGGGAGCTTCACAGGCAGCAGACGTCGGCGGCTGGTGAAGATTGGGATCAGAGGTCTGTGCTGGATCATCAGCAGAGTGTCCTGCTCCTGTTGCTTGACCGCTGCGATTTTGCCCGTGTGCATCACACGCTCGCTGATCAAACGCTCTGGGATATGGGAGGGCTGCTTGAACTGGCGCACCAGGTAGGCGGGCTTCCTTTTCGCATAGGCCACGGCCAGCATCAGGGCCGAGGTGCCGTAGATGGCCACCTCGCTGCCAAGAGTGTCCCGCTCCAGGAAGTTACATAAGTTCTGGTACTTGGCCTGCACAAAATCCTTGGCCGACTCCATTGGGAAGCTGGAAATTGTTCGCTGGTTAGGTTTTGCTTGTGCTTCTGTGCCGCCACTGGCCGATGTCACTTTACCACACGGATGCGTTGTGTCGTTTTGTTGGCCTAATCTATACGTAAGAGCTGCTAATGGCTAATTTTGTCGGTGATTCGGCCTTTTCTCGGCGACAATTCTGTTTTGCTACTGAACAGACTTTGACATTTGCCTCGAGTGCGAACAGGACGACTAGTGTGCGTGTGCTGGCTGCGATCGCCCTTCCGGCGCTGTGCAACACTGCTGCTCTCTCTCTCTCTCCCTCTCTCTCTCGTCAACACTCACTCTCACACACACAAGCACATGCAGTTTGAAAACAAAACCCACACACACTCACACCTTGAATTTTCCGCTTTTTATTATTTGTTGAATGAATTTACGCGCGTTCCGCCTTACGAACCGTTCCTCAGTCGTTGTCAATGCTAACTGAACGGCGAGATCGGCCAAAAGCTACGCTGTGGCGGTACATGCTTGTGTAGCAGCCTCAACCGCCTGTTGCTTCGCACTCACACACGAGCACGTCATTTGTTTTGGTTTTGGTTTCGTTTCGCCATCCCCCTTCCTCCAACGGTAATTGCACTAACTTGTTTTCCCCTCTCTGTTGTGTTACCAATCGCGCTGACTTAACCCTTTGTTTATTTATGCAAATTTGCTGCGGTCGCCGTTTGTTTGTTACCTGCTATTGAGATTGGAATAATGTAAATGAGATATAGAATCATGCTCAAAGCAGGAGTTACACCTTATATTTAAAAAATCAATAATGAAAATGATTTTTTTTTAATTTTATTTTAAAATCATAAAAAATATTTGTGTTGTTATTATTTCAAAAATCAATTTCATTATTTTCTTTTAAATTTTATTTTAAAATCAAAAAAATATATATTTGCTATTTTATGAAATACAAAAATAACTTATATTATAATATTTGTTATATATAAAACTTATTGGAAATGTTTATTTTCTTCCCAACCCTTATAGTAGCATCAATTCTAAAAACATATTTTTCCTTGCAATATAAAGAATATATTTATACGAACAGAAAAAATGAATATAACATTCGACATAACTAGTGTATTTATCAAAGTATCAAAAGATTTCGAAAGATTTGTATGCTAATATAACGTTTAAATGGTTTAAGCAAACCTATCTTAAGATTGCTAGTTTTTCTTTTTAAGCTGATTATAAAAATATATATAATTTATGGATTAAAAGAATCTGAAAGGTAATGTTCTGATACTAAAAACTAAGTTTGAAAATTGTTTAAATTACAGAATTTGCCTGGAACGTTGAACCGCAAAACTTTCGATGCGATTTCCAATGCAGCTGGCGAACGTGTTTTGCGGTTTTCGGGTTGTCGTGGGCGGATTTTCACGAAAGTGCCTTAAGCCAACCAGTTTGGGCCGATGCGCAGAAAGTTTCAATACCAATAGTCGCCCTACTATGGCTTCGGGCATGGCTTCCGTTTTTAATTACCAGACAGAAGGGCGTTGTAAGTGTCTGTAACTTTTCCTTGACACACTAACAACAACAACAGCAGCAGCAGCAGCAGCAACCGCAATAACAACAACAGAAACTGGTTTCCAACTTACGTAATCGTAATCCGATGGAAACGTGGTGGCTCGGCAGCATTATTTTTGGATTTGGAGAGGAGAACGCCAACTGGCGCACCCGCTGGCCATTCCTAATTAACAAGTGTGCTCCGCGCAATTAACCTCACGTTGTTCCGTATTTAAATGTATTTCCACAGCGACAAGCACACGAAGAGAAATATCTGCATTGATCAGAGCCATATCAGTATGGTATTTTTAAGAATATTTATCATATCATTGGGATCTGCATTTTTCCGAGCTACAAGTGTACATGCTTTACTTTCTTTGGGTTTGATCAATTGAGGAATGTTAAGATCACGTCAATAGATTGATTTTCCTTAGCTGAACGTGAAATAATGACACGTTCCATTTGTTACTACAAAACGCACAGACTAAAAGCTGCCAAATTCCTCATCTATTTGTGTATATTTCATTTGAAATATAGCACGAAATAATAAAAGCATAACGTTCTTACTCTCGTTGTTCCCATGGCACAAATAATCAACATTAATTTAATTTGTCTGAAACATATTATACTTAACAAGACCTCAAACCAAAATTTTTTTTAACAAAACAATTTGTTTGCATTTGTTTTTTTTTTTTTTTTTTGTACCAAACATATTGTTTAAGAATATATTTCGGCATTTACATAAGTTGGACTATAATAATAAAGTCTGAACTATAATTAAAAATTAAAATACAAATACAAAATTAAAATTCTGTGGGATGACCAAATTGATTAATTTAAGCTAGAAATCTTAAGAGCTTAGGTATTGTTGAAAGTATATTTATATTTATATATTATATATTTATATCCGACATTTTTTTACACATTGAACTTACACCTCGTTTAATAATTGACCGGTATTTGAAATGTAAATGTTCAAATGTTTTAAATCTCAAAACATTTGAAATATTTATGAGATGACGATATGAATCCGAGGTTGCAATGCTTTTCCCCTGTGTAATGTATCCAATTATTGACAATATAGAAACAATTATGAATCACTTGTTTGTCATTTCTGTTAGCTTCCTCTCCAACAAACATCTCTTTGTAAATGTCGAATTACCGTCAAATAGAGAATGACTTAAGTGAGATTGTCTCTCAAGGGGAGGCAATTATTGGCAAGGAAAAGCTTGCGGTCGCGATTGGGAGAACTACCATGCGTCACACTCGAGCAATTTCATAAGCAAGCGTAGCACCAAGTCTTTCCATGAATCCATGAGCGATACGCATCAGCATCTACACACAAAAGAAAATTATTCCTGACTTCTGAAAAATCACATTCATAATCATAACTCAAAAAACAATTTTTAAAGTTGCGGTTTTCGTACCGATCTATTCTTTGTTCGATGATTTCTTCAGATTCATGATGTATTAATAGATTGGTTTTTCTTTTAGTTAAAATAAAAAAAGATTGATTTTTCATTTTTATGTCCATGCAGAGAATGTTATAATTTAATAAGTACTTATTTCAAAATTATAAAATAGTAATGAATAACTTGATTAAAATCGGACAACGATTGTAACCTTAGAAACGATCAAAAATTCAGCGACATAGCTTCATCGTTTTTAACACAAGTGTTCGCAAAAAAACTAAAATTTATTCGTTTTTTGGAACATTAGATTATTGTTATAGCTGCCAATTAAATTTGTTTTATAATTGAATTCTTTAGTTTAAAAAATATACTAATAGAAATATTTTTCAAAGATAAGAATTTTATTGTTTTGTTTTGACTGTATAACCGTTTTTGCAGCTGACCAAACAACAAGAATCTTGGATTCTCCAAGAAAGTTTCAAGAATCGAATATAGTACAGTTTTGCTCTTTTTTGTGTTTTGCTTGTCAACTTCAATTCCATATTTAATATCATTAATTGTTTGTTTACAAATTCAACAAATATATGCTGATTGTATTTATCGGTCAGAGTGCTTAGTAAAGTTCAAAAAATGCTGTGTCAAGCAATTGTTTCTTTATCGATTTCGCTGTTTATGCTGATAGTATACGCAAGTCTAGGAAACTTCCAACGATTTTATTTATTTTTAATCACCAAAGGAAATAATGGACACAAAATTCGGAGCCCATTTCTATAAAATAAGTTAGCCTTATAAAACATAGATTGTTTCTGACAACCCTTTGCCCTGTTGCTTTAATTGAATGGAAAATTGAATTTCAGCAGAGCTGTGAAATTGATATCATTTTTCTGGGTGATATTATTGTATACCACATAGCCACAGCTTTGTTTGAAAGCATCCTATACCAACCAACAAATTAACCATCAATATGAATGAAATCTTAATGTTTTAATGTTTTGGAAAATAGGGACGCCATAGTTGTCTGCTTTATTTCGTGTGTGCGACTCCACGTGGGAAGCGTAGTCGGTGTAGTGTCCATTTAAAATCGTAAGTATATCAGTGAGTGAGTTGCGTGGCGGCAGCAGGGCTAACCCCTCAGCCGAGGCTAGTACAGTCGCCGCGTGTAGTGCATCTGCTGGCCAGGAGGCGGCTGAGCGGATCCGGAGACCGATCCCGACGGAGCTCCCGGCTGGCCGGGCAGCATGGCCAACTGCTGCCGCGCCAGCTGCTGTTCGTGGGCGGATCCACCCCGTCCGGGTGCATAGCCCTGTGTGATGCTTCCCGCCGCCTTGGGATTCTGTGGAAGAAACTGGCGAGATGTTAGTTAGTGATGTTAGATTCGAAATGGGTTGTTCCTGCTAAAACATAGGTCAACCTACGAGCTTTTCTTTCTGAAACTTATGCATTTAATCTTCATGGCATATTGCTAACTTAATTTTAAGATTAGTTGTCAAAGAAACTAAACTAATGTTAAATGAATTTTAAACTACTTGCATTAAGTATGAAAAATTTCGCTGAGTTATAAATTAATACCACGAAAGTATCACAATAAAACTTATGAGGCTTAATAATAAGGCATTAGACTAAAGTTTTACACTCATCGGTATGGAAATGAAACTAAAAAGTAAAAGGGCAACATTATTAAAAACTGATTTAATGTTTCTTTTACTTTAATACTGTGTGTAGATTATCTTCAAAACTATCTATTAAATCTATTTTCAGTTTTGTTTTTGGGCTATACAAGTTATAATGGACTGCAATGGGGTGATTGGTTTGAAAAACGTACTTAAGATCTTCGGAGTTTCAATCTGCTTTAAAGAGATTTTTTAACGAGATTTTAGTTTCGGTATGATACTGCTATTGTATTGGTTTTATTGACCTTGTATTTGAATACATAAATCGAAGTGAAATACTAGAGGTCATAATAGTGGCTCATAAATTTCTATAACATAACGTTTTTTGATTACTTTCATCACAGTAGCACTCCCTAGGAAGTGAACCCGAACTCATACTCATCAGCTTTCGTTGGGTGCAGCAGCCGAACCGAAATTGGTTGAAAAAGACGCCACCTAACCATTTATATGCCATTGCTTGAAGGGACCCACCTGGCTGCTGCTTATCTGCAGGACGTTGGGATGCAGCGAGAGTTCGCTGTAGATGACGCCCTCCGACAGCAGGTGCGGCGGAGGTGGAACGTGGCTCGGTGGCTGGCCGTCGTGCTTGACCTCGATGTGGTAGCGGTCGGGCAGCTTCTCCATGGTCACCTGTGGCTGGGAGCTCTTCCCCGAAATGCTGCCGCCGGCTTGGGCCACCAGGTCGGCCTGCGAGATGGCCGGCTGGTCGAGATTGATGTGGAGCACCTGCATCGGCTGCCCTTGCGACGGCGCCTTGGGCGACTGTGAGTCCGGTGGCTTGCTGACCGTGGCGCTGGGCAGCTCCACGTGGTATGCCTGACGCAAGGGAAGGTTGTAGTTGTAGATGGACGTCGTCGGCGGAGCGGGGGCCGTCTGATAGAATACCGTGTTCGTGCCCGGATACTGTGCCGTGGTCTCTGGAAGAGAGGGAAAGCGGGGGTTCATTGGGGGTTCTGGGCTGCGATCGTTCCGGCGGTGGATCTCGGACTTGGTATTGCGAGTGAGGTGCTTACTGTTCCATGATAATCTAGCATAGTCCGCGGCACGACGGTAGTCATCGTGTTCTGCGAATCGATCGTAAACAAATAACGAAATGAACATAAGTTGTGTGCCTGTGTTGTTAGAGGTTAGTGTGCGCAGTCAAATGAGTTTCTCATGAGCGGGGCGGGGTGTTAGCGAGCAGTTAATCAAGTACAGTGAAGGCTCCGCGGAGCAGAAAGTAAAATAACGAAAGCCTACCCTTTGGATTTCAATAACACAAACTAATGGCGCTTACAAAAAAATAAATTCATTCAACTCTCTAGTATCTGTACTTATCTTTCAAATTCAAATTCAAATTAAATAACTTAATTAATCTTTGACGAGTGGCATTAGTTAGATGCAACAAAAGCTTTATCAATGTAATGTCAATATCTAAGAAGAAATTTAAGACATTGGGTTTGGTTTAGATTAACCGCATAAACAAATGTTGCAAATCTAACCACAGCCACCACAGTGGATATATTCTAAGCTCGTGAGAGGGTTAATGCAATTTATAAATCTAATTTTTAAAGTCATTATAGCCAAGTCAAGTAAACTTCTTTAAACAAGGAATCTTAACATGATGATTAACTTTGTTCTGTCAATTGATTTGAACTAGAAGCCTCTCAACGAATTAAATCAATAACTAATCCGTCTGCGACTAAAGCCAATGTTTGAGTTAAAGAAATCCAACAGGCAGGGTTTGGCCGTTTGCCTTGGGCAGCGTTCACTGTACTGGAGCCCCAAGGGCATCATCCTCGAGCTCGTCCTGGCTTACTCTGCTGGGCGTAGCTGGCCGCGCTCTTGTAGTAAGCCTGCTGCTGCTGGCTCGGCGGCGACGGACTCCTGCCCCGTTTGCCTGGCTGTCCCCCGGCGGTGGGCTGTCGGAAAAAAGAAGATCATTAAGAACTGGAGTGGAGGGAGGACAGAGAGGACAAACCTTCTGCATCAATGGGTGGTGCTGGTGCTGGAGGCGCAGGGGCGGCAGAAAGACCGGGCCACTGGCCGCCGCCTGCTGGATGGCGAACAGCTCGTTCTCCTTGGCCAGCTTCTTGCGGGTCTCATCCTCGTTGAGGACCTTCTTCAGCTGGACGGTGAGCTGATGCTTCTGGCTGTGCAGATCGGCCAGCTGCTCGTCCAGGCGGGTGATCTGGCCACGTGTGTCCTCCAGCGCCTCCTGGTTCTGGCGCTCCACCTCCTCCCGCTCCTGGCGCAGCCTCTGCTCCTCGCACTGCGCCTCGAACTCCTCCTGGCGTCGCTGGCGGTCCGAGACGATGAAGCCTTTCAGGGCTCCTCGCAGCTTCTCCGCCCGTTCGGCCTTTGCCGCCTGGGCGGCCGCGTTGCTGTTGTTCACCGCTGATGCTGGCGGCATCTTTGTGCTATGCTTAGTTATCTTGCCAATTTTATAAGCGTTTGTGGACAACCGGACGACCGAGGGGCTCCCCAAATGGAATGATCTGGCTCTCACAGAGGGGGGGAGATTGGGTGGACACCGCTGCGGGAAACTCTTGGCGGGCGTCTGGGGGATGTCTGGAAATGCTCGGCGGCGTGCTGTACTCTGTTTTTTGTCGACTTCAGCACGGTTTTTTTGTGGTAAACAATTTGTTGTGTGACTGGGATGTGTCGACCAGTGTTGCCACCTACCGATTAATGGGGTAAGGCTGGCCGGAAAAAAGCTAGTTTCGATACGTTTCGATTGGCAATTTATAGCTTAGTCACACTGGCACATTTTTTCACACTCTGTTAATGCACTTTACTCCCACTACCATTTGAAAATGTTGACGTTCAAAAAATAAATGTGTAAAATTAAACGTGTAAAAGCCCAAACTTTTAGAATAAAGTTTGCAGTCTTAATATTGTAAATTGTGGTTTTCGGAACCATATTTATACTCTGTGAAAGTAGTCCCAGCCATTATAACCGTTTTATTTTTAAATTAGTAGACATTTTGTGTGCTTTATTTGAAAACTAAAAGTTTTTTCTTCAAAACCAAACTGCATATTTCCTAAGCAAAAACAAACAAATGACCTTAGAAATGAAATAATTTTTGTTGGTGTGCCATTTTTCAATATTAGTAGAGTTGCCGTCAAACATCGATTTATGCATTATCTGTAAATCATCGATAACATCTATGCAAACATCGATGGTTAGTTGATCAGTTTCGTTACATTCCTATGTTAGTTCATCGTTTTTTTAACATTTATATGAGAAATCGACAAGTATTGGTCAGCGCTGTGGCAGAGGGAAAGCAGAGTAGAGATGGGAAAGCCTTGTTGTTGCCCTGGCCAAACATCGGTAAGACCGATGTCTTGAAAACGGGTGCTTCGTGTGACATTACAATTAAAAAAAAAAAAAAATGGCCACTCTACAAATTTCATGTGACCAAGTCGCGTTCAAAGAGTAATTCCCGCAGAAACCATCACGCTCCGCTTCATTCGTTGCAATAATCATTCCCATCGCGACAGAAAGAAACGCAGTGCCTGAAGTGAACGTGTGAACGCGATTCGGAAAATTCGGAAAACACGGAAGACACGGAAAACCTCATGCCATACGGACTTTGCGGTAATTGTACGGAGACGCGAGAGAAAAGCCGTGAAATGTGTTCAGTTCTTGCGACGAGCAGCCATTAGCCCATCAGTTAGTTAGTTAACAAGTGATACAACGTGCCTAAAACGCGCCCGCAGAGCGAAAAGACGAAAGTGACGGAGCGCAAGAAGCAGCAGCGGAATAATCAACAAAGGCGGCAAACATGGCGAGTGAGTAATATTAGGGCATTTCCTCGCCAGTCAAGGCACCACCTATGTATATAAAGTACAACAGACTCCGGATTCCTTTTCCGTAATATAAACAAATGCAATGCAGGCGAGTCGTTGTGTGTGCCTATGTGCGGCATTTTATGGGTGCAGTGCAGCATTTACGAGCTGCGAAGACTTCACAATCGCTGCCAGGTGCTCGAAACGTTCGTCGGGAGGGGATGTGATGGGAGGGGAGGGGAGGGGAGTTTTGCCGGCGGAGGAGGGGGCCTTACGGCTCCCTAGACGAGATGTGTGTTTGCCGGAGACATGTGAGAAAAATCAATATTTACGCTTCTCCCTTGCACAGTGGGTTGATCGGATTAGGCAGATGCCCTGCTGCAGGGTCACTTCGTCCCAATCAGAAGGCCCGCTTTTTATCCTTTAATGGCCCCGGCAATTCTGGCGGGAATCAAGTGTGGTTTTGAGACAGCGGCCACCACCGCACCAGTGCCACAAATCATCCACCCAAGCCACCCACTCCATCGCTGGATTTGGACGGATGAGGGGGTGGGGAACTGAGAACTGAGAACAGCAGTGACGACGCATTAATAAATGAGAATATGCCTCCTGCGAGGTGCCAGGTTTACCGGCGTGTCTCAACACTCTTCCCACAGCCCTCACTCAATTCGGTTTATCCCCCCGGGGTGACATAGCAAACAAAACGCAAAAGGAATGCACTGGGAAAAATAAGGGTTAAACTGATTTTAGCCAGCATATTAGAAAACATACGAAAACTGGTAATACCAAAATTAAGGAACTTAAATAAATAAGCAATTTTATACAGCTAAAAAAAAAAAAAAAAAAAATGCTCATTGAAATAAAAACCTCATATCGATTATACATTGCTCACAAATAAAATTAAACTATCTCTGTGACCTGGGAATGTAATTTAAAAACATACTTTTATTTGTGTATGAATAAGGTAGTAGGTAATATACCCTCTAGATTCGGGACAATTGAAGCCAATCATGAAAGGGAGCCACTCTAGTACTGAAATGCGATGACCTGAAAGGCCTTTTCAAACATTGTTGAGTAAAATTTAATTTTAATTTGTTAAACAGTTATATTAAAAAACATTTCGTTACACCTAGTTTTGAATCCTCAATGTGCATAAAGTTAGCAGAACAACTTTTGAAATTTAAACTTTTTTCTTATCGACAATTTTCCGTTATTTTTCCGTAAATTATTCGTGAAAGAAAAAAATTTGCTGCTCAATTTTTTTTTAAATTATGAGATGTTTTGCTAACTTGAACTACTATGTTTTAAAAAAAAAAATCCTTAAAACAGGAGCGGCAAATTTTTTTCTTTCACGAATAATTTACGGATAAATAACGGCAAATTGCCAGTTAAAAATTTTTTGGAAAAGTTGAAGTTTAGTAAGATGTTCTGCTAACTTGATATCTCATAATTTTTAAAAAAATTGAGCGGCAAATTTGTTTCTTTCACGAATAATTTACGGATAAATAACGGCAAATTGTCGATAAGAAAAAAGTTTAAATTTCAAAAGTTGTTCTGCTAACTTTATGCACATGAATCCTCAGGGATCGTTTTTGTTAAAAAATGGGACTCGAATGATTAAAATCTTAAAACTACGGAACACAGTTGCCACAGTACTTCAGCCTACTAAGATATTATTGCGAACGAATCATACTGTTGATTCATGCAAAGCTCTAAAATAAAGTAGTCACTGTTTTCTGCATTCCGAAGACCCCGTTTTTGCAAAACTGATTATCATTTATTTGAATGTCCAAACCTTCAATATGAATAATGCTCTTTACTTCTTAATGCAAACATTTTAAAGGTATTTGACTTTGAATAATATATTTTTTTTCATACAAGTAGTATTTCCGATGGTCTTGGAAAAAATTATATATAACAAAAAACCAAAAAACTTGTAGTCTTCATTTGTTCTTAATTTTTAGAAAACGAGATGTCAAAATTATTGATATTGAGCTGAGTATTATTTTTATATTGTTCATCCACTGATTCTCAATATGTGAGCGTTAAAACCAAACGCTCTGTTTAAGTTCTTACTAAAAAAATGTAAAACTAGTATCTCAGCCGACAACACTCGACCGAAAACTAAAATGTTAACAATTGAAGTGTTCTGTTCATAAGCAAACGAGAAATATGATTTTTCGTTTATGTTCGGTTATTAATCTTAAAGGAAAAACGTTCAAATGTTATTTGCAAGCTCTGAAAAAAACACAATTTTTCTGAAACAAAAGCTAACACACTCATAGCTCCAAAATATTTTCTTTTTCATTACCTAAAATTAAAACAATTGTATATTTAAGTAAATATGTTTATACATGCAAGATGCTTGTGTATATTTAGGTCAGTCACCGATGAGAATCGCTAAACAACGTAAACAAGTCTAAACTTCTCAGTTTTCAACTGTCACTGCACTCTGCTCACAGACTGTACTGTTTGTATACCCTTTCCCGAGGGGGAACCTGTGCCCAACGACAACAAACAGCACTCGAACGTGCTGGCAATCCCGGCCTTAAAACTTCCCCCTTTACATCAGCGGCAGTGCATCCCAAACCCCGCCTCTCAGTCCCTCACTTACCACGTTACCCACCAGCTGTGCCCACCGTAGCGAAACCCATTGTCACACTGGAAACAAAAAAGGCGTATTGATGCGTTACATATTTGTATACCCTGTTTTCGAAAAGTACGGAATAAGAACTCGTTTCTGATATAAATGTTGCTTGTCATGGAAGTGATTGCTTATCCTTTTAATATTCCCCAGTTGCTAAAGAGTTATCTTGATGAAAGTTTATTCGAAAAAATCCAAATCAATTCATCAAACATATAGGTTTTAAGGTGGAATTTTATAATATCCCTAATCATCAAATACCTGTATTTGTTCAAATTCAAATTATTTAACCTGAAACACCCGACATAAAGTAAAGTGTGGTAATAACAGAGATTCCTAAGCCCACAGATTGTATCGTTTTTTGCCATTTTCGTTGGTATTGCCTCTCTGTGCAGCTCCCAGCTGCGGGATGTTTGCCACGTCCTGGCCATGGCTCAGTCACTTTGGACTTTAATTGGTCCTTTGTGACTGCATTTTGTCGACGCTTTTGGCTCGGCGTCTTCGGCACAATTTGACTGCCGTCCTTGCGGCTGTGGCTTCCATCAACCCCAAAAGCTGTGATTGTGATAAGGCCGATATCAGTTGGTAGAACAGAACAGAACAGAACAGACCGCTCCCCTCAGCTGCTGCCTCTTTATTGTTATTATTATTATTTTGGGCTTTCTTCATTCGTTCCACGCAGCTTACCCAGATTAGCTGGCTGTTATTGTACATACATAGTTTACCCAACAACGAATTTATTTGCCCTTTTCCACCTCCTTTTTGCGTATTCCGGCATCGTTGCTTCATTTGCCTCATCTATGTAGCTGTGTGACTTGTGATTGCCCTTCGCCATCGCCTCCATTCGCTTTTCTTCTTTTTACTGCTAATAAGATTTTGGCCCTCCTAATGGCCTTGAGAACGAATGAGCAGGGAACTGATGACTGATGAAAACGCGGGGGTGGCGAGCTCTGTTTTAATTGAGTTCGTGCCCTATTCAAATTGGCACAGAAATTAATTTCAATTAACTTTCGAGTCTTTTGGAGAAGGTTATATGACCCCATGGCAACTTGTAAAGCATACTTATTGGGGCCTCAAGAGGTTTGACATTTTGGGGGAATCCCCCATCGACAGAACATTACTGAACTTACTTTAAGTGGCTCCAGAACTGAGGAACTTGTGTGGAAACTTTCTATTTAACTGCCTTTAAGGGTTTTTATTATTTTAAATTAGAATTTAGCACCAACATTAGTTGACTCTTCCCCACTTTTCATAGTTGTTTGGAATAGTTAAAATCAATGGACAAACATAATTTCTATTTAGGATTGTAACTCTTAAAAAGAACTCATGTACATACATACACCAACCTGAAGTTTATAGCACTTTGGTTACCACATAAGCACCTGGCTTTGTCTATCCATTTAGCTGGGTCTCGTTTTATCGGGAACTGTCTTTAAAACCACCAACTAAAAATTTAAAGTTTGCAAACGAACAAAGAAAAACGAATACTTTTTGTCTACTCACGCTGCTGGGAAGGAGGAAAAAGGATCCAGAAACCGGAAGTGGAGACCTCCGCCATGGGAATCCGGCAGAGGAGGCGATTGTGCGTCGACCAAGTGGTGAGCGACCTGTGCCTGGGAGACTACGAGCAGGCCCTGCTGCGGATCAACAAGGAGCTGGAGGGCATGCAGGACCACGCGGAGATAATGGCTCTGCTGGAGCTGAAGAACATCATCGTAAGACTGCGACTGAAGGGCGAGGCCCAGCGGACGTTCGGCCCAACCCGCCAGTCGGATGCCCTGCCCAATGGATTCACTCTCGAGATGCTGGACGTGGTTCAGAAGGTGCTCCGGTGCCGCAATCACTACGAGGTGCTGCGCGTTTCGCACCACGCCACTTACTCGGAGGTGAAGCGGGCCTACCACAAGCTGGCCCTACGTCTCCACCCGGACAAGAACCGGTCACCAGGAGCGGAGCAGGCCTTCCGCCGCATCAGCCAGGCGGCGGACTGCCTCACGGACTGCCAAAAGCGGACCGAGTATAACATGGCAACGGCAGTGGGTGACTGCCAGGGGCAGCATGCCTCCGAGTACGAGGACAACCTGGACGGGAGCGAAGTCAACGAGGAGGAGCAGGCCGACCTGGGGACCTGGGGACATCGCAGGCCATATCAGGCGGCCAACCAGCGGATGCCCCAGCGACAGTCGCTCTATCAAACAGAACAGCTCGTAATCGGAGTGCTGGCTGCGTTGGTTTTCCTCTTCATCACCATGCACTATATAGCAGCCGCACCTGCTTACAGTTTCACGCCAACCAGGTGAGGTACTGAGGCTATTCGATGGTATATCCAATCCAAAATCTTCTCCAGAACCCACAGTTTTCGTCGCGTCAGTCAGACGCATCAAATAACGTACTATCTCAACCCAAAGAGTCTGGCGAAATACACAGAGCAGCAGTTAGTCAAGCTGGAATCGGAAGTCGAGCAGGTTTACATCTCTGATCTCAAGCAGAACTGCAAACAAGAGCGAACTTTGCGTGAGTTTGGCCCGAAGTCTAACAATTGCCAGGGATATCTAACTACTTCTCCTTCCAGGGGAAACATTGCTGCTCAGGGCGAGGCAGGGAAACAATCGTAAGCTGCTCCAACATGCCAGCCAGATGCCCACTCCGGCCTGCCACACGTTGCTCCAACTGGGAAAATCTGGCAGCAGCCCACCACTGCTGCTGGAGAATCGGTCTTTGCGAGAGCCAAACCATTTGAATCAGGACTAGGAAGGGATGTTGTGTCAAGTTTTTGTGTTGCTAGAAGAGGATTAGTGTGGAAATAAATCAGTAGTTTGTAAAAAAGTTAAAGGTTGTTTAATTTGAGAGATATCAGCACATTTCAAAAGGGTTAAATAGTTAACTAGTTTATTTTCCAATTGTATGTTAATGTTATTATTATTATTTATATATTCACATATACACTTCCGCTTCATTCTGAAATTCACATTTGTGATCTAATATTAAATTTAACACCCTAACCCATTCAATATTTATGTTTTTTTCTTACATCACCCGTTATTCATGCTAAAATGATTATTAAGTTGAATTCGACGGTTCCCATGACTCCCATTTTCGGTGCCAAGCCTCTGCCTTCCACTTAACCCACATTTTCCGAACTTGTTGGGTGGCAGCAGGCCCGAAAAGCAACAATTCTCCTGAAACCGAGTTTAACAACACAAATTGCACATGAATTAAACATGCAAAAGCCAAAAAAAAAAGAAAAAAACAAATGTTTTGCACTAGTTTTTCTCATTTTTCGTGCCGTTTGCTATTTTTGTATGTGGCCAAAGTCAGTGAATCGTTTAATGGAGAAAACAAAATACCACAGCGGACTGGATATAAAACGCAGGCCACCAGCAGCAAAAAAAATAAAGGAAAATACGAAAATAAAATAAAGCAATTGCCCCAGAAATTCAAGCGAATAAATGCCTCGAACGAAGCCCGCTTCCGCAACGAAAAGCTAACGAACTTGCCACGGAACTCGAACTCGAACCCAATGGTTGGTTGGATGGATGGATGGATGGATGGACGGATGGATAGATGGATGGATGAACGGACGAATGGCATACTCTGAATACCAACGAGTACCAGTTACCAAAGCAAACATTCGGAGGCACGCAAAAGGCGGTGAGGCAGCAACCGAGACGCATTAAGGGAGCTGAGGCCACCTCCTGCCAGCTCCGACAGACGGAAGCACTGCCGCTTCCACTGCCACTGCTACTGCTACTGCACCTGTCCTCCTGCATCCCTCACCCTCGTCTACCTGTCACTCCAATGGGCGCCGCGACTCCGCCACCTGTCCAATTGCATTCAGTCAGCTGCGGCGGGCCAAACAAATGCCCATTCCGAATATGCAGATGCATTGACACTGGGTACTCTTGGGCTTAAGGGGTATGCTGTAATCGTGAAAATGTATTTAATGGACCCTAGATCTCTTAACAAGTGGGCATATTGACCATCAGTTTTATCAACTTTTTATGACGATGGTATCTACACTATCTTTATAACTGCCTGCTCATATAAATATATTTATCAGGAAAACCGTTTGAGTTTCGTAACCGTTGCTTAACCGGTAAAACCTAATCGAAACCGTAACCGAAAGACCGTTACCGATACCGAAACATAAGTATCGGTTCTTTAAAAATGTGTTGTTTATAAAAAATTACAGAAGTCGTAAACCGTATAAACAATTGAATATGGCAGACCCACAAATTATTTTCCTTAAAAGGAATATTAAAACAAAAAAGAAAAAACGAAAAAAATATTATTTTCATTCATACGAAATTGCCGCAACAAAAAACCAATCCCTACATAAAATTTTACTCCTTCGACAAAGTCAAAAATTAAAGTAGTGTGAGAAATGAGTAAATAATATTATTTAAACGAACTTGATTATCGTTTATAATTCCACAAGTACAAGTAAACAAAAGGTCAAAGCTTCTTGTAACTTGGAAAAATATTATTCGCTCTAAACATTACTTTTTTGCAATAACAGATTGTTATAATGTTTGGAATATTATTTTTATTGAAACAGTGCAATACCGGTTCCATAATAACAAAGTTTTACCAATATTATTGTATATATTATATTGTTTGTAACCGTAACAGTAACCGAAACCGGTATATGATTCGGCTTTAATTCCTGATATTTATCAATCAACTTAATTATTGAACCCCTAATTAGCTGAGTTATTGCTGAGTTGCATGTAAGTAAAGGACTCAGAGCCCGTAGTCTTTGATGATGAAGCAATTGTTTAATTTAACAGACCGTCAACTACTTTCTACCAGAGTTACATACACCCAAGTAATATGAGGTATCTTAAAGTCTGATCACTGGATGGTTACGCATCCACTTGTGTCTCTAGAGCTGGGGTTACATTTCCAAGTGCAACTTGTCTGCGAGTTAGTTTGCTGTTGTTGCTATTGCTCTTGTCAGGTTGCGTTGGCTGCTGATATTGCGTCCTTTGTTGCTGTTTCTATGCCAAATGCTGGATGCTGACACCGCTGGTGATGTGGACGATGATGGTGATGAGGATGATGGTTGCCCGTCCGCCCAGTTGAAGGGTTCTTTTTGCTTTTTGTTTCACTTATTCATTATTTATGCTCCACAAAGTTTGTTGAATTGCCAACCGTCCAACCCCGTCGACTCAGTGTTGTTGCTGTTGCTGTTGCTGTAGCTATTGCTGTTGCCACCAACTGTCGCCAGTTGTGGAGTGCCGGAGTCTGGTGGCCCTTGCCCTTCGTCCTTCGTCCTTAGGCCTGCCGAAGTGCCTTATCGGAATGTATTTTTCAGCATGTGTGCTTGGCGTCAAAAAAAGGTCTCACTGAAATCATAATATTGTGATAATGTTGGCCGTAAAACGAAACGCTAGGCTCCTGGCTGTAAACAGAATATCACAAATTTAAATTTAAACGTAAATGTTGGGTTTACCTAGAGGAATATTCCAAAAGTTTAAATTAAAAAACAGTGCTTTCAGAGATGTTTTTTTTTCTTTTTTATATTTATTTTATATTTAATTTTGCTTAAAGTCGTTCTAAATTTAATAACTAAATAACTATGTATTTATGAATGAATGAATGAATAATATCCACCACACTTTCCTTTACTTTCTTGGTCATTCTAAAGCTCCATCATTACAATACATTAAATCCCGATTGTTTTCCCGTTTTCCTTCTCCATTTTCCGTGGCCAGGACTTATGCAAATCGATGTCCATCTTGGGTCCTTTTATAATCCTAGCCATCTGTTTGGGAGGCAAAATGAACCTTTAATGTGGCGCACGCTTTCAGCGTTTATTTGAGCATTGCCCCAAAGTAGATTCTAATGGTTCGAATACCTTTCAATTCAAGAAATAAAGAGCGTTGTTTCTTGGGTCCCATGACTCATACCATAACTCTCTCTAAGACCATTTGTCTTCACTTCGTCCAGGCAGCGACGATAATCGAAATTGGCAATCAATTTTGCGGTGCCGAACAAATCAATGGAGTGGTAGATTGCGTGCTCCTTAAAATGGAACCGTATTGAATTTTAAAAACATGCATACATTTCTATACTTATTTTAAATCTGGAATTTTATTCATACTTGTTTTCAAGACGGAGCTAAATTAGTCTAGCATGTTAGGTATATCTGTAGAAAAATACCTTTAAACTGTTAACAATGCGTACAAATCTGATACTTCAAATAAACAAATTAACTTTATTAAGGTTAAACAAGCTTGTTGTGTCTTTTATTTCATAAATCTTTGTAAGGCTGAAAATATTCCCTCTCAAAATAAATAACAAATTTAATTTATTTATTTGATATCCTTGTGCTTAGGACAACTTATTATTTAATGCGCTAATGACAAAAAACTACAATATTTTTATCACAAATTTAAAAAGAGTTCTATCTTAGATCTATAAATAAAAATCACAAATATTGATTAGTTGATATCTGTCGAAAAAAAATCTTAATTAACGATTAAACGTGATTTGTCAAAATGTAAATCTCTAATAACGATTATTTCAGATTCAGATAAATAAAAATCTTAATACAATTTTTTTTTTAACAAACATCTCCCGATAAAAACATATACATATATAGTGTTGAAACAACATTAAAAATCTATAAAACGGATTTGAAAAGAATTTTCAATTAAAGTTTTGTTGATTCCAGATTAAAATCTCAGACACCTATTCCAAAAATCTGTTTTAATTAAACCTATTTAAGTCATACAATTGCTGATATTGTAGCCGTGGTAACCCTAATTGTACACTTAGTAACCATTTCCATTGCTTTTCATCTTCCGCAGCTGAAATCGACGAGCTGATCGAGAAGCTGAAGACGACCAGCGTCAGTCCGGCGAACACGACGAACCTGCTCTGCGAGATCTCGGCCACCAAGGACCCCAAGCTGTTCGACAAACACGAGCTGGCGGACTGCTTTTTGGGCCTCACCAAGTGCGACGACACGAATGTGCGCAAGGAGGCGGCCAAGTGCATTGCGGAGATCACCAAGTCGGAGGTGCAGCGCAAGAAGTTCACCAAGCGGGACATAATAGCCGCCTTCCTCGAGTGCCTGCGCCATGTGCCCACGCCCGACGGCAGCATGGAGCTGCCCATACAGATTTGCCGGGCTCTGGGTAACATTTGCTACTTGAACGACGAGGCCAGGGACCTGATCCTGGAGCTGGAGGGTGACGCGGTGCTGCTGCGTCTGCTCGACATCGCCAGCATCGAGGACGTGGCCAATGCGGCGCAGTTCATCAAGGTGCGGGGTGGTCTGCTCTCCAACTATCTGCTCGGTGGCGAGGGTCTGGCCAAGCGGGCCATGGAGCTGGGCGTGATGAAGAAGCTGCAGAGCATCATCGACACCGGCGCCTCCAATGTGGAGCAGCACGAGGATCTGCTGCTGAACACTCTTCCTCTGCTCAGCATACTCACCGAGAACGTGGCCGATCTGAACTTTGACTCTTCCCTCAACATCCAGCTGTCGCGCATCCTGGCCGCTTCCACGAACCCCGACCTGGCCGAGATGTGTCTGGAGCTGCTCCACTACCAGGCCGAGAGCGACGAAGTCAAGCTGATCCTGGCCAAGGACGGCCTGTGCGAGACCATCTACAACCTGCTGGAGAAGTACAAAACCCTGGCCAGCACAAGTGAGGCCAGGGCGCTAATGAAGCTCGCCTGCGAGCTCATCGTACTGATCCTCACGGGCGGTAAGTTTCACTTCGCAGATTACTTGTTTAATTAATTAGTTTTTAAACTTTCCCGTACCATTTGAACTATTTGTATGATAATTGGGCGCTACTGAGTTAATGTCTCAGACAAACTTATGTTCCATCGCGATGTCTGGCGACATTTGTATACCCTTGCAGAGGGTACTATAATTTCAGTCAGAAGGAGACATCTCTGACCCTATAAAGTATATAAATATTCTTGATCAGCATCACAAGGAGAGTCGATCTAGCCATGTCCGTCTGTCCGTCCGCTTCTACGCAAATTAGTTTCTCAGTTTTAAAGCTATCTGCATGAAACTTTCCCAAAAGTTGTCTTTCTATTGCAGGCAGTATATAAGTCGGAAAAAGCCGGATCGGGTGACTATAGCATATAGCTCCCAAAGGAACAGTCGGAAAAATATATGCAAAAAATGATAACTGCTGTGTTTTAATTCTTTTTTTAGTTCTTTGACATTTAGTAATGGTTATATATTTCAGAATTACGGTTACAATTTCATCAAAATCGGACGACTATAACATAAAGCTCCCATAGAAACAATAAAAATATTTAAAAAAAAATTAAATCAAAAATTTTTTATAAATTCTTTTTGACATTTTAATAATAATTATTAAAATCGAAAAACGGTATCATATAGCTGCCATAGGAACTCAAATAATTGAGCTGCAAATCATCATAGCTTCAATGCTGTTAAACATACAAGCAAGTAAATCATAATTTTAATGTCTTCAAGAATATTTAATTTTTGAAATAGCTGGCTGCAAGGGTATATAAACTTCAGGTGCCGAAGATTGTAATATATAGTAATAATTAAATATTTTAGAACTACGGTTTAAATTTCATCGAAATCGGACGACTTTATCATATAGCTCCCATGAGAACAATAAAAATAAAAACAAAAATTAAAAAAAAAATTTAATTTCTCAATTTTTTTATACCCTTGCAGAGGGTATTATAATTTCAGTCAGAAGTTTGCAACGCAGTGAAGGAGACATCTCCGACCCTATAAAGTATATATATTCTTGATCAGCATCACTAGTAGAGTCGATCTAGCCATGTCCGTCTGTCCGTCCGTCTGTCCGTCCGTCTGTCCGTCCGTCTGTCCGCCTGTCCGTCCGTTTATATGCAAACTAGTCTCTCAGTTTTAAAGCTATCTGCATGAAACTTTCCCAAAAGTTGTCCTTCTATTGCAGGTAGTATATAAGTCGGAACGAGCCGGATCGGACGACTATAGCATATAGCTCCCATAGGAACAATCGGAAAAATAAATGAAAAAAAATTATAACTTTGCTGTTTTTTAATTTTTTGTTTAGTTTTTCGACATATAGCAATGGTTAAATATTTCAGAATTATGGTTTAAATTTTATCAAAATCGGACGTCTATATCATATAGCTCCCATAGAAATAATAAAAATATATAAAATAACTATCAAATAATTGAGCTGCTAATCATCATAGCTTCAATGTTTTTGAACATATACGAAAGTAAATCATAATTTTAATGTTTTCAAAAATGTTTAATTCTTGCAATAGCTGCAAGGGTATATGAACTTCGGCTTGCCGAAGTTTGCTTGCTTTCTTGTTTTAGTTTTTTTTTTAATTCTTTTTGACATTATATTCACATCGGAAATCGATATGTAGCTGCCATAGTAACGATCGAATAATTGAGCTTAAAATCAGCTTTAATGTTTTAAAGCATATACGCATAAACGTGATTTAAATGTTTTAAAAAGTATTTAATTTTTGCAAAAGCTGCAAGGGTATTTAAGCTTCGACTTGCCGAAGTTTGCTTTCATTCTTGTTCGTTATGAACACTTACCTGGCGGAAAATAATTTTCACTCAGGAGCACCTAATTATCATGGAAAATAACAACGTGTTCGTGGAATTTTTTAGAGGTGTAACAGGCGTTACATGAGTTAATTTAATCGGAAATGTAAGCTTAAATTAAAAGCTAAGAAAATAAGCATGTTTTAACTGATTGTTCCGCAAACTGAAATTTATAAGCGTATATCTGTGCGTATTTAAATGTAATAGTCCTCTGAATTTGTCTTTTCGAAACCATTTGATAAATATATTTGCACAGTCTCTTATTTGTGAGTGAAAACTAAATTACTCAGAGGTTTAATTAAGTACGTAGATTGCAATCTTATTAATTTGTGCCTGTTACAGACGAATCAATGCACTACCTGTACACAACGCCACTGCTGAAGAACATGGTCGACTGGCTGGACTCGTCGGACATCGATCTGCTGACCACCGGAGTGCTGGCCCTGGGCAACTTTGCGCGCACCGATAGCCACTGCATCTACTTCGTGGAGCAGCAGACCATGAACAAGCTGCTCGAGGTGCTGGCCAAGAACAACGGCGTCAAGGACGACGTGCGTCTGCAGCACGCTCTGCTCTCGGCGCTGCGCAACCTGGTCATCCCGAAGCCCAACAAGAACGCCGTGATCCAGGCGGGCCTGGTGCAGACCATTCTGCCGATGCTGGAGATCCATCAGCCGCCGGTCGTCTTCAAGCTGCTGGGCACGCTTCGCATGACCGTCGATGGACAGGGTGAGTGGGGCTGGGAATGGGCAAAACAACCAGCATGCGATCCGCATCACTGACAACATCTGTTTCATTCGTTTGTAGAGAAACTTGCACTGGAGCTGCTGAAGAACAAGGCGCTGATCGAGCAGCTGGTGCACTGGAGCAAGTCGTCGGACTATGCGGGCGTCACCGGGGAATCGCTGCGCCTCATGGCCTGGCTAATCAAGCACGCCTACCTCAGCAAGATCGCCTACGCCCTGCCGCGCAAGGGGGATGCTCCCGCCGAGCAGATCGCCGACCGCATTCCGCTCACCCAGGACTACGATCGCAGCAGCCTGAGCGAGTTCCTCGCCAACGAGGGCACCGTGGAGGCCATGGTCAGCATGCTCACCGCCCAGCACCTGGTGATGCAGAACGAAGCGCTGATCGCCCTGTGCATCCTGTCCGTCGTCTATCTGTCGCAGGCCAGCGAGGCGGCGCAGGCGCAGCGGCTGCAGGACGAGCTGGTCAAGTGCGAGGTGGGCAGGAAGCTGGCCGAGCTGATCAGCAAGTCGTCGGACACGATGACCAAGGAGATAGTCGAGAACCTGCAGAACTGCGTCAACCTGCTCAAGTCCTCCGAGCAGCTGGTGGCCCATCTGGAGCAGCACAACATCAACGAGCTGCTCAAGTCCATACCCATTCTCACCGAGTACTGCACCTTGTAAGGGAAACGGGGGCGTGTCATTGCATTTATCTCAGCACCGCAGGATGCCTCACAGTAGGATGGGTCGGTTGTATGCAACGAACGGTTGCAGAACAGCATGAACATGCTTAGGGGCGAACCATTATCTTTGGCCAATGTTTTGCCACTTCCCTCCACTTTATTGCCCAAGAGAAATGCCGATACCTATTCGTAACACAAAACCAGTGTGTAGGCCTCAAAACATAATGTGTTATTTATCGACTAGAACAATTTTTATTGAATTGTAAGATACCAACTTTATAGAGATTCAGAACTGACGTTATAATATAGTATTGGCCAGAGATAAATGTTTGCCCCTATTACTCCATGTTATTCTTTTTTTAAATCAGCCCACCCTCACACTCAAAAGCGGAAAATTGTAGTTTTCACCCTAGAGCAACGATTCAGATGTAAAACTTGTCTGTAGTTTGGTAAGGAGAAAGTGCAGATGCAGATGCAGAACTTAAGCAAAACTTAAGCACACTTGAACACTGAACGAATAATGTATTTTTTAGACGCAAGCGTATTTTGACTGCATTTATGAGGAGAATGCGATTGAGGCAGGAGGAGGATACAAATCGTATAAATATTTATAATATACATAATATATACGTATAAATATAACAATATTAATAATTTAGCATATTAGTCTTTTCTGTTACATGATTTTTAAGAGCACAATAACAACAAATCGTGGTGATATCGCTAAGTATATATATTTAATAAATGTATTTTATGTATTGTACTTATAATTTTGAGTCGAACCTTTTTAGACCGTTGCTGGCACACAGTTACCAAAAACGAAAAGATCACAAATCATTTAAGCGCACAATGTAATTTAGGTATTTTAATTGGTGCACAGACACACATTGCAAACACCATCTATTTATTGTAAAACTCAGCGAAGTTATCCAATGCATTTTTAAGCTAACTTTTAAACATTAACAAAAACAGCAACTCAGTAACAATCAGCAATCCGAAACACATAGTTGAAACTCAGTAATGCAAATTTTACAAAGCGTAGTCGTAGAGTACTACAAATTTTACCAATTATTAAATGCGATGTACTAAACTGTTTGGTCACCAAAAACTATAAATTAAACGAGCACAATTCAAGAGAAATGGTGTTATTATATAAAAACGTTGAAACACCCACATACACACGTTCACCAGAAAACACATTTATGAATTCTAAACACAATAATGTACATTTAATAATTCAAATAAAATTTGAAATGCATGAGTAATAAGAGAAAACCAGTTGGAGGTGTTTTGAACTTGAATGCGAGGGCGCCAAAAGCAGGCTGTTATCGATAGTTCGATAGGAGGGTAAGGGATGGACTGCATGAAGCAACCATCATAATTAGTTATTTAATAATTTGAAAGGCATATGTTGGGGTAAATGTATGCCCAAAAAAATCAGATAGTGCCATTTATTTAGTTAAGTAATTGTTTTAAAATTTAAAAGCATTTCTTTTTCGCATTGACTTTTAATGACTTTGTTATTGGTGCATGACAGACGACAAAGTGCCATCTCTAGACAGGGACAAAAACATTCCAATTTCACTGCTGCGATTTCACTTTCACAAAACAAATTAAGGCTGCGCAAGGTAAACAAACACAACACACAACACACAAACACACAAAAGGAACAGGTGCAGCAGGCGTGTGAGTGGACTGCCAAATTTTCCAGTTTACAAAGCAAACACTATGGCGACGGCAAATGGTGATGCGGATTTCGGGGACTCCTCGCCAGCGTCCTTGAAAATCGCACCGAAGGACTATGCGTATCCACTGCTGGAGGATCCGCAACGGACCCTCGCCACGCCCACCGAAGGCGGCCAGACGCTGGGCATCCGCGGTGGCTTCAGCTACTTCCACTACGGCTGCGATGGCCACCAGGATGCAGGCTGGGGCTGTGGCTACCGCACCCTGCAGTCGGCCATTTCGTGGGTCAACCGGCGACGCGGTGGCTTAGAGCCGGTGCCCTCCATTCCGGAGATCCAGCAGATCCTGGTGGCCCTCGGGGACAAGGGACCCCGATTCCAGGGCTCCCGCGACTGGATCGGCACTCTGGAGGAGTTCTACGTGATCGATGTGCTCTACCAGCTGCCCTGTCGCATTCTGCACGCCACGGAGCTGGGTTCACCGGAGGTGCTCGCCCAGATTCGCAGCTATTTCGAGAAGCATCAGGGTTTCATCGCCATGGGCGGACTGACGGACACGGCCTCCAAGGCCATTGTGGGCTACCATTCCAGCGCCGAGGGTCGCATCTTCTTGCTGATAGTGGTGAGTCAGCGAGTTAGCTTATATTACAACCTGGTGACCTCATCACTTGCTCCCTTTTTAGGATCCCCATTTCGAGGGGGTGCCCAGCTCCCGGCAGCAGTTAGTCGATGAGGGCTACGTCCGTTGGACACCCGTCGACGAGTTTCCCGCCAGCACGTACAACCTCTGCCTCATTTTGCAGCCGTAGAGGCCACTTTTCGTTTCTATTCTAGCAATAAAACCAGCTGAGCACATTTGATTACCACTATCGTATTGCCTGTTGCCTTATAGCCATGTTTCTCTTCCATTTTAGCGCTCGCTGCTCAATGGACACTATCAGTTATTGAATCCAACCGATAATGGCGCTGATAAGCCGGCGGCACTGAGACCCCAAACCCCGACGAACAGCCACCGCCAGCTGTTTGGCATAGCAAACACTTTGAATATATATCGCAAGAAGCCGAAAAAAGACAGCTGGGCCAGCATGGATCTGCTGCATCGCGTCCTGCTCACCGCCTTGGGGGCGTTCTCCGTGTTCTACGCCCTGGTCAAGATCAGCTTGGGCTACTGGAAGCGACGCGGCATCCTGCACGAGAAGCCCAAGTTCCTGTGGGGCAACATCAAGGGCGTGGTGAACGGCAAGCGGCATGTTCAGGACGCCCTGAACGACATCTACGCCGGCTACAAGGGCAGGGCGCCCTTTGTGGGCTTCTACGCCTGCCTCAAACCCTTCATCCTGGTGCTGGACCTCAAGCTAGTCCACCAAATAGTCTTCACCGATGCGGGGCACTTCACCTCGCGAGGCCTCTATAGCAATCCAAGCGGAGAACCGCTGTCGGCCAATCTCCTGCAGCTGGATGGTCACAAATGGCGTGCTCTGCATGCCAAATCCGCAGAGGTTTTCACACCGGCCAACGTGCACAAGCTGTTGGCCAGGCTGACACAAATCTCTGCGAGAATTCAAAGCGATCTGGGCAGGGAGAGCCTGCAAACCCGCAACATTAGCGAATTAGTGAGTGCCTACAGCGTGGATGTGATGGCTTCAATGGCCTTCGGATTGGCAGGCCAGGATCACGAGGAGTTTGCCAAGTGGACGCGTAACTACTGGGCCGACTTTAAGCTTTGGCGAGCGTACCTGGCGCTGGAGTTCCCGCTCATCGCTCGACTGCTGCAGTACAAAAGCTACGCCGAGCCGGCCACGGCCTACTTTCAAAAGGTTGCCCTTTCCCAGTTGCAGGCGCAACGGCGGAGGGATCGCCAGCCGCTTCAGACGTTCCTGCAGCTCTACTCCAACGCTGACCAGCCGCTCGACGACGTCGAGATCGCGGCCCAGTCCTTTGGTTTCCTGCTGGCTGGCTTGGCCCCTCTGAATGCCTCGCTGGGATTTTGCCTCTACGAGCTGGCCCGCCAGCCGGAGCTGCAGGAGCGAACCAGACGGGAGATTAAGAGGACGCTGGAGCAGCACGGCGGCCAAGTGACGGCGGAGTGCCTCAGGGAGCTGCGGTACACGAAGCAAGTCCTAAATGGTAAATAAACAGATGTATTAGTTAAGAAGTTTTACTAACTTCCTCTGCTTTTACAGAAACGCTTCGTCTGCACACGCCGTATCCCTTCCTTGTGCGCCGCGCAACCAAAGAATTCGAGCTGCCCGGTTCGGTGTTCGTCATTGCAAGGGGCAATGGGGTGCTGATACCTACGGCGGCCATACACAGAGATCCGGAGATATACGAGGATCCCGAGCGCTTCGATCCGGATCGATTCGAGGAGGAGGCCAAGCGATCCCGACCGCCGGCTGCCTTCCTGCCCTTCGGCGACGGTCTGCGGGGATGCATTGCGGCTCGCTTCGCGGAGCAGCAGCTGCTGGTGGGTCTGGTGGAGCTGCTCAAGGGCCACAGATACGCGCCCTGCGCGGAGACCACGATTCCCATGGAGTACGACAACCGGAGACTGCTCTTGGCGCCCAAGTCGGACATCAAACTCAACGTGGAACGGATTGACTAGCTTTAGAGGTGCCCTCTCCGATGGAGCATCGCCCATTTCGTATTGTTTGCTTCGGTATTGCTTTACTGTACAAAGCGTTTAAGTTGTTTTTATATTTGTATATGCACTTAATTCGTTGATTTCCTTAAGCTGTGGACTTGTGTGATAATGCTGACGATGACTTTTATGATCTACTGCACCAAGCTCAACAACATGAACAAATAAATACCCTAATTGTTACATTAAGTCATTGCGTTTTGGGCAATCAGCATGTGAGCTATGCTTGTCTATGAGGGGCGCCAGGAATGTCCATATCTTTTGTTATTTTTTATACATAAATCGAGGTGAAAAACTCGAGGACATTGTTTGTTATAAATCTTTTTAAAATAACTTTATGATAACTAGCGCTAGTTTCTTATTTTTTATTTGATTTCTCTGGTTATATTATATATTGTTTGTGGACATTTAACATTATTAAAATGTTTATTTGAGCTATAATCAGCTTTATTTCGGCTAAAGAGTGTTTAAAAATTTACAATACTCGCAGAGCTTAAATTTTTTTAGATTAATCCAGATTTTGGACGCCTTTGCAACTATATTATTGATTAATTCGTTGCGCACAAACTTAAAAAATATGGTGTTAATGAAATAACTAATTTTTCATAAAATGGAAATGAGTTATCTAATTCGCTCCTAAAACATAAAATTGTCATATTTACTTAAAAGACCTATATGGCATTAAAAACAAAGCTGTATCTCAATTCGAATTGGCGCTATATATATCCAATTTTGATTTAAAAAAGAGGATTATTAATTCAAAAGTAGCTACTTTTTAAATCCTTGTCATTCTTTCATAATCATAATTTCAGTCAGAAGTTTTCAATGCAGTGAACAAATATTTTTAAATATTATTTAAAAATAATTAGATAATTAATTATGATTAATGAACAAACTAACTAAAAAAAAAAGTATACTATTATAATATGATTATATTAAAGCTAGAATAATGGTTTAATATTTTACTGTTTGACTTTAATGTTGCTAAACAAACATAGAGGCAGAAAAAAACGGAATATATTTTTTAAGGAACATTTTAATTTTTGAATGGCTGCAACGTTGCTTGCCGAAATGATGTGACCATTTTTTGAAGTTAGAGTAACTGAATATGATAATGAAAAAAGATAGTGGAGACTCCAACCACTTTTAATAGTTAGTTGTGTCACACTCCTCCGTAGCGGGGACACCCGCCGCAGTTAGCGAAAATATCGCTGATTCATTGCCAAGTATCGATATTTTCGAGGTTTTCAAAACATCGATTTAGGTATCGATGTATTAATGACATCAATGTTGGGATCGAAGTTTCCCATCTCTAGCCCAGACATTCTCGAACGGTTCGGTCGCGGTTTTTTTCGGTTTTTGTTTGCCTATTAGAAAGCCCACTCGAAAGGAAGCAAACGAAGGAATATGCTCTCGGAAAATCAGTTGTAGGCGAGGCGAAAACAGCGCTCGCTGCGACCAACTTCTAATAGTTGTCTGGCCGGAAAAAAGTGCGCGACAAAATTTTGGATTACCGATATACGAGCGGGGAAAAGTGTCGGATTTGGTGCGAAAATCGGCGAATAATTTTATGCGATTTCCCGAGGAAAACGGAAAATTAAGCGTCTGTCTGCCAGCCCTCTGGATCATAGACGAGCTTAACTGAATATAAAGGACTTGCATTTTCAGGCCAGGTTCGCATTGATGCACTTTAACCGCGGTAACTGGGAACCCACTCTATTCACCTTGGTCTCACAGGACTTTTGCGCAGCCCTATTCGACGAGGGTCAGTCATGGTTCAAACAGTGGACCAAGCACATTTCAAACCGGGACGAGGTGCAGAAGAAGTGTTTGAAAACGCGTGGTGTGAGTTGACTTTGCAAGTGATCTTGTCAATTCTTGGTGCTGTGGTCAATCAATATGGTTACTATTTCAGACTGTTTGGATGCATAACCCATTCGACCTGCAGTTGCGCCTATATGACATCCGTGGCGCTAATCTTCAGGGACGCTACAAAGCGGTGGTCACCTTTGAAGCTTTTGACGAGAGGGATGTACCCCGAAAGAATAGCATATGCTTCGAAATCAGAGGAGAGGCGGAGAAGATCAAGAAATAAGATTTCTTGGCTCTACAACGGATGCAATTCATTGTCCTGCATAGCGAGCATATATTATGTTATTAAAAAAAAACATGTTATTGTCAATATATGTTAAATATATTGTTTTTGCCTATCTCTAAAGTCTCCCAGTTGTTTGCTTTCTTGTGTTTGAAATTAGAATTGGTTCAGATTAAGCTTTTAAACTTTAAACTTTTCCTAATTCGGATGTTCATTTGTCACCTTTGTTTAATATATGAACAATTCCACTTGCTGTTATTTTTTTGTTACCGCATTCATAATATTGCTTGAACATTTCGATTGCGCAAGTTGTAATGGTTTTCGAAGATTGTAATCGGTTTAACATTGACTTCCAAATTTCAATGTCGATGTCCGACAATATCTGACAAAGTCTGACAAACGAATTGCTTGTTAATTTGTTGCATGTCGAGTGGATTGACGATGACATTGTACGATGAGAGATCGGAGCTTGTTATGTTATAGATAATAATTAGAAGAGATTCCTACAAGATTCCGATGCGACTATAAAGGCTCCGACCCTACATTGTTGAGGGAGATATCATCATGAGAACTCTGATGTTGCTCTTCCTTGGCGTGACCAGTTCCTGGGCCACGGACTACGAACTGCTGCTCGAGGATCCGGACATCCTCTCGTCGTGCAGCGATGGGCCGCCCGGCTCTATCGACGCCAGACAGGCAGCCAATTTCGACGATTTTATGATCAATGCTGATGCTGATGTACTCCACCTCTCTGGCAACGTCACCCTCACGTGGGATGTGCAGCCCACCGATCGTATTGCAGTAAACACACTCCCAGCCAACTGAACAACACACAAATTGAATCTAAACTCTCGCATCCATGCAGGCAAGGCTTGAGTTGTTCCACTTCAACCGCGGATCCTGGGAGCCAACTGTTTTCAGCATGTCCTCGCAGGACTTCTGCTCCATCATGTACGACAAGAACCAGTACTGGTATAAGTATTGGACTGGATTTATAACCAATCGCCACGAGGTGGAAAAAAAGTGCATCACAGAGCCTGGAGTAAGTTCCTTACAAGCACACAATATTATAGTTTAGTCGTTTGACTTATCTGGTTTTTGATCGCCATCAACCGGTCAATATTGACAATTCTTATGACAATTATCTGTTTCACTTCCTTAGTTAAAGCGTTGTGATCTATTTCCTTTGGATGTAAAACCATCATGGAAATTCGTACAAAAAGCTTAGATCATAGCCAATTTGAATATAAAAATTGTATATTCAGTTACACACAAGGGTATATCAACCTTCAGTCCGAAACAATATTGTACAATATGTTTCTAAATATGTTTAACCTTTCCAACTTTTGCAGACCGTACTGGTACACGAGCCGTTCGATTTAAGACTAAAACTTATGAATTTTTATGGTACAACTCTTCGAGGACGTTATAAAGTGGTCATAGTGTTGAACGCACTCGACGATCAGAATATGCCGCGCCCAAATCCCATTTGCGTAGAGATCCGAGGGGAACCCATCAAGTTGAAATAGTGATAAATAAGAAAAAAAAGGTGTAAATCTTAAACTTACCTTTTAATATTGTTTAAAACAAAATACGTTACTCTTAGTTATAAATTCAAGCCTTATACTTGTAAGGTATTGACGCCACGCTTTTGCATTGACTTATAATCTTTACACTCAGAAAAAAATACGGTGAAAGCCGAACGGGTTTAAAAAGTGCGTAAATAATATTTTACCAACATTTTGGGTTTGGATTCCGAACGAACGGGATCAACATAAGAACCTTTTGGAATTGAATTAGTTAGCTTACAAAAAAAAACATATTAGCAGAACACCAAAAAAAAAAAGAAAAGAAGCAAACTTCGGTAAGCCGAAGTTCATATACCCTTGTAATTCTAAAATATTTAACCATTACTATATGTCGAAAAACTAAAGAAAAATTAAGAAACAGCAAAGTTATAATGTTTTTCCTATATTTTTCCGATTGTTCCTATGGGAGCTAGATGCTATAGTCGTCCGATCCGGCTCGATCCGACTTATATACTACCTGCAGTAGAAAGACAACTTTTGGGAAAGTTTCATGCAGATAGCTTTTAAACTGAGAGACTAGTTTGCATAGAAACGGACGGACAGACGGACAGACGTACAGACGGACATGGCTAGATCGACTCGCCTAGTGATGCTGATCAAGAATATATATACTTTATAGGGTCGGAGATGTCTCCTTCACTGCGTTGCAAGCTTCTGACTGAAATTATAATACCTTCTGCAAGGGTATAAAAAGTTTAGGTCGGGGATTTTTTATTGATCCGACATTAAAACTATGAAAGAGTACTACGGTTTCGCTACTCTCCCTTTTAATGTCAAAACTTTCTGCTGTATCTTTGGATCATGATTAGAGCTTCTGCGGACTTCTTGCTCCGATTCGTTTTGTTCTGCGGTTTGTGGCACGCGTTGACGGCAACTTGAGTTCATATTGCGGTTTCCATATCGGGTGGCCGCGTGTTGCAAGTTTCTTCTTGGGTAACGACGGGAGAAAGAATGATAAATAAATATATATACACGTCTACCGCCCAGCCAGGGAGTCAGTTGGATTGTTTTTGGGGTCACGACTGGCATTGTTATATGGGAAATATGCAAATACAGGCAACAGACGGTTATTGAATTACCCGATGATGATTGGCATAAGTTCCGATCGATTCAAATCGCACCAATCGATTTGCCAAGCTCTCTGCTGCGCTTATTTGCCAATTCACGGAAAATGTTTCTTTCAGATTTGCGAAAACTTTCGAGCGGCAGGGATACCCTCGGAACACTTTCATTTCATATTCCCGCTGAATAATTTTCTACTTTCTAAACCGAAAAGCCAGAAACAAAAACCGTCTTTAGGTGCAAATTAGCAGCGCACGATTTGCGGCCTTCTCCTCCGAGCAATACGCCAAAGTCAACATCTGGCGAAGACCAAAATTATGGCCGCGGGCACTCGTATATAGTACGTTAGATCTCATAGAAAATCAATCAGTGCGGACTTCTGGTTCGCAGGCTCTTGGCTCTTGGCTCTTGGCTCTCGAGTTTTGCATAAGAAACGGCTCTTTCTGGGGGCTGCTGCTTTGTTCGCCAACCCGAAATATGTGCAATGTAGGACGCGACGACGGGATGGCTCTGAACCCGTTTTGGCCATCTCCGCCTCTTTCTAGCTGCTGCTGGGAATCTTTGGGGCATTATCGAGCAGCAGCAACAAAATTGCAGCATGAATGGGGCTGTGAACCAGCTGAGCAGTCGGTTCGTGTGGGCCGGCTTTGTAGGCTATTGGAAAGATCAAGAGTTTATAATGCCAGCCACTCGTTCGGCTGTGTGTGTGTGTGTGTGTGTGTGCATGGGTGTGGGTCTTCCCGTGGTTGTGTGAACTTTTCCAGTTTGCCGAGAGTTGCCTTGCTGCTCTGACTGGCATAAATTGTGGGTTTTTAGGTGTCTAGCTCACTGCCTGCCCGGCTGAGAGTTAGTTTGCCAAGATAAATGGATACACAGGGAGACGCTCGGTGCCCAGCTCTCCGTGTACATGGATGCACCACGTACATTGCACTCACTCGATGGCTTCCTCTGAGCACAGACTCGATTTCGATGTCTGCCACAAACTGGAAAGTGTTTGAATACAACCACGTACTGACGCGAGCTATTTCTGGTTGGCGTTTTCTTAGCTCAATGTTTGGTGCCTTTAATGTTGCTTATAGCGTAAATAAAAAATCGATTTTTTTTTTATTTTATTTTATTTTTTTTTTTTTATTTTTTTTTTATCGATTTTAAAAATACAAACTTATACTGAGGCAGTTTTAATAATGCACCCAAATAAAAATTACATAAATAAAAAAACGCATAAATTAATTGATTTTTTTTTATAAATTCTTCATACAATTAACAAACTTGTACTGTTTAAGTTACATTTTAATAAGTTTGGCATGAAATTAAATTATTGCAATAGAAAATTTGTTAGGTTATCAAGAGAGCATAGTTCTGTTTATTATTTCTTAGACCTTAATAAGCCCGACTAACTTCTCTCCACATAAGCTTATTTCGCCCATTCATAAGCAATACTCGAACTAAGATTAGGACCAGCTGAGCTCTCTCCCAACGCCAGCACAAAATACAACTTCCACGCCAACGCGAACGGTTTGGGCCTGGTCAATGTAATGACAGCTTTGCGTGTTTTGGCCCGCGAGTGGATTGCTGGCTTAGTGGCATGGGGGCAACGCCATAAGACTACAAAATGTTCATTCACAAAATGCCGACAAGCCGCAGCCCACGCAATCGAGGCAAGAACCGCTTATCAAGCTGTCGCTGGCTGTTGGTTGTCACACACAAAAAATGGTTTTGCAACGAATAAACAAAAATAATTTGCATGTGGGCTGCGTCTTGGAGTCAAACGTGGTTCAATCATTGGAAAATTGAGCTTACAACTTATGAAAATTTTGATTTCGGCCTATTGGAATTAATTCTGTTTTGATATTCTCATGAATTTATTGATTTTCTTTAAATTCCTGATCCCACACACAAAATACATTGAATTTTTTAAGTTTCTTATGATGATGTCACTAAACGTGTTTTAAGAATTCTGTTGTTTTATAAAAAAAATATATATATATATATTTCAAAATATAACCTTTTTTTTAATGGAAAATAAAATATGACTCTTAGTATTGGGTATTAAATCTTGGGTATTATGGTTTCAGTTTGCAACGCAGTGAAGAATACATCTCCAACCCTAAAAAGCATATATATTCTTGATCAGCATCACTAGGAGAGTGTATCATATACGTCCGATAGGAACAATCAGAAAAATAAATGAAATAAATTAGAACTTTGCATTTTATTTTATTTAATTCTTTGACAAAGAGTAATGGTTTTATTTTTTAGAATTACAGTTTTTCTTTTGGGCATAGGAATGGTTAAATAACTGATTTACGCTTTTCATTTTATTAAAATTTGAAAACGATATCATATAGCAGCCATAGGAACGATCGAATAATTGAGCTCAAAATCATCATAAATTCAATGCTTTTAAACGTATACGCTTATTAATCGAAATTTAGATGTTGTAAAGAATATTAAATGTTTGTAATAGCTACAAGGGTATGTAAACTGCGTCTTGGCAATGTTTACTTCCTTTCTTGTTTAGTTTTAATTTTTACAGAGTACACATAATAGATTATAAAAAGTTTTATCGATGCTGATTAAGAGCATGAAACACTTTCTACTACTCATATAAGGGTATCTCTTCGAGAACCGGGTGCAAAAACACCATTTTCAAAAACCCAGTTTCGATTATATTCTTTGTATTTGTTTTATTTTGCATATTGTTAAGTATTTCTTTAAAGGGGTCCAAATATATCATCACTCGAATGCCACATTGAAAACCATTTACGTGGTGGTGTGACAATTGTTAAGGGCTTTGGTTGTGCTTTGTTGCGCTTTGTTGTTGCATGTGCAAAAATAAAAAGTTTGCAGAAAATAGCCAAAAATCGATTTCCGTTCAATTTTTGTTTGTGCTTCGCCGTGTTGTTTTTGTTTGTACCTTTCCTGGTTTAGCCGTTGCTATTGTCTCGTTCGTTTACCTTTGGGCCGAGCTGTTTTGTTTATGCAATTGCCATGGCCCAGACCCGGCTTCTTTTGGGCATTTTGCATTCAAATCGGTTTTGCAATTGGCATTTCGATGATTTTTTTTAATGTTGTGTTTTGGCATTCATTTTTGTTCAATTGCGCAGAAACCGAAAGTGAAATGGCGTTGCAGTTGGCATAAGTGCTGGGCAAATCGATTTGCCTGGTTGCTTTTGGCGAGTTGGTCAGTAAATTGGAACATTTTATTTATTAAGGCGAACCCCGCTGCTTTCCATCGCTCTCTTCTCTGACTTTTGCTTTCAATGTCATTTGTTGTGTAAGTGAAACATTATTATGGGCAAAACCAAAGCAAAACAAAACGAAAAACTCGTTTTCGCTTTTATTGACCATTTGCGCTTCTTTACTTGCTATTATTTCTCTCAAAAAAAGAAGCACACATAAAATCTTTAGCTGCCTTATACGGCGGCTCTTAACAATCCGCTGCCGTTCGGCCATCGTGACACTGATACTTGGCCAGAAACCAGCGGCAGCTCTTTGTGGTCTTGTCCAAATAAGTCGGGTGGACAGGATTATGTGAGAAAAGCCATGTGGGAGCTATTTCAGCTTGTTTTTTGGCTCACACTCTCGCTAAATACGCGCTCTCCAATGGGCTTACCATATTTTCTGGAGTAGGGGGAAAATTTATGTGGTACGGAGAATGAATTTTGGATGAAAGTCTCCTTATCACTATAAGTCTAACCATTTGCTGCCTTTTCTATGATTACTTTTGTTCGTATTATTTCTCCTTTAAGAACAGCCATATTGAGATGCGAATTTAATTAATCTAAATTACCTTGGACTACAGGGAAAATTTAATTAAAACATGGTTGGTCGATACTGAATTCAATCGGACCATATGGATCGGGTCTTCTCCCCCACTTTGATTATATTAAATGTGTCTCCCATTTGCGAATCCATTCATGTCGTGCTGGGTTATTTACTCATTTATTCAGATTTAATGAAATGCGCAGACAACAAAAGTCAAACTCAATTAGATTAAACCCAGCGAACACGATGACGCTATGAACTTTGAACTTTAATGCTAAGAAATGAAACTAAAGGTATGCCATACGGATTTTTATTCACTTTTAACTCTCATAAGTTTACTAAATGGGGAA